GGGGGGGGGGGGGGGGGGGGGAGAAGGGAGAACAATAACCAGAGGACAGACCTTACTGCCCGTTATGGCTCATCAAGTTCTGACGAGCCACTCATTATGGAGATATTTGCACAGTTGCTTAATTAAAATTCATGAAACAGTGTGAATGCTAATATGAAACGCCTAGATTTCATTCAGAACACACGGGAGAAAGCAGACAATTGTGAAAGCCACGGGACTGTGGAAAAGGCATCTCAGTAATACACAATTACGGTGAAATCCTGGGGTTTCAGATTGGATCAGCGCATTCCAATGCATATAGTTTAAAATGGTTTTCCAGGATGAATAAATGGTTGAATATGTATGGCAATTGGACAGCTGTATTTTCCGAATCCCTATTTATGCTGACTGATAGGTAGAATTCAGTTCTTGCTAATGGTAGTGGGGGAAAGTGCCGTAGAGTACTTTTTCATGTAAATTTGTAATCTGCGCATGTCCGAGAAGGGGCTGGTGAATTCCCATTGGCTCCCCACTATGGTTCTCTGGCTGCAGTGTGGTATGTTCTTGAAAATTGAATTCGCGCTATGTGCAGCGTATCTCCATCTTTCTCATGATCCCCCCCCCCTCCTCCCACCCGCCGGCCTTCGAACTGCCGTTGTATTGTTGTAGTTGTTGAGAAACAATTCACAGGGAGGTCTGGGCAAGGGCGAAATACTAGCAACCAGTGCATAGTGTGTGCACACATTTCATGTATAAGTAACTATAAACTAGTTTGATGCCTAGTGAGGGCATCATCAGAAGCAAACAGCTGCGAGAGAGAAATATTTTCAGGTATATAGTGGGGGGGAAGTACCATGCAGTAGTGGGGATGAAGTCAGGCTCTCACTCTTGCACACTGAAGGCTACCGGGAATATACGGTTTAGCCTGGTGTTGGTCGGCGCACGCCACTAGCCGCGTCCTTAGAACATAACAGAACCTATCTGAAAGCGCTGAGAACCCCCCCGGAGGTTCTGTAACACAATTGTCGTTTTTACGGAGCGGGATAAAGAGAAAAAAAGAGGAAAACATTGGACTCCCACGTTATTTTTAATTCTACGCGCGCAAATTTTCACACCACAACCGCCATATTGATAACTGTCATCCCCGCGTTAAATCAACTATTGAGATGTTAAAAATTGGTACGATTTGTTGAACATTAGTTGTTGAAGATTTACCTCTGAATGCATCGGAGATTGATACATGGAGGACTTTTGATGCTCATTTACGATGTGAATTGCAACTATGCCAGTGATTTGATGTTGTCATCGTAGTTTCATTTACACTTCAAAGAGTTGAATTTATTTAATGATTCATCAGTCGCAAGTGCTCTCATGTGTATCTTCGGAGCGGTTTCTTTCAGCAGTTACAATTTACAAGTTATTTTATTAGAATTTCATACGTCACGAATAATTCACGGGGATTGTAATCTTGGCTGTAAATTGTTACGGCAATAAGTTGCACCATAACAGCACTAAATAAGGCCTCCAAGTAGTTTTCTTCAATACTGTTGACAATGAATGTGAGTACTCAAACTAATAATCGTAGATAAGTCTTATCAAACTGCAAAATTATGGCAGTTAACAGCACAGTTTGTCACTTTCGAGGAGAAAATGATTTTTTTTTCCCACTCGTTATACCACAGGTTGGAAATGAACAGTCCACTGGAGCACGATTTTGTTGATGGCTTTGGTTTCACGAGTAACAGTAATATCCCAGAGGAAGACACAGACACTGGATTACAAATACTTGGTACGTCATTTATTTCAATAGTGCTATCAACAACATTGACAATAGCTAATTAATATGAGTGAGGACACATGATCCACGGAAAATAGCGGCGCAAAAAAAAAGAAAAGTGTCAAATGAAAAATCACGAAAATAGGATAATTCAGAAATGAGTGTAAATGCCCACATTCACCGCAACACAGTGTTATTTTCATTCTTAAAAACTAGAAAATAATGTCACAAATTCAACAATTGTCAATAAAGGGAAATTCTCACTAATTACCTCGTGTTCATATCGCGTATTCCCTCCTAATCTATGTGAAACACGGTATCTCTTGACGCATAACCTCAAAAAACTCGCTGGACGCCACCCATTGCCCCGCAGTTGTCCCTATCACCCCAATAGTGCACATGAAATATTGGTGACAAATTATTAACACGTGAGTGGTCAATTTTCCTTGTAAAAGAAAATAGCAGGGCTGCACGTGAACAGAGTCATTAACCGTGAAAATGTAATTGTGGCGGGAATTTTCGTGTGATATATCTAGACTAACTGCCTTCATTCGTGTTGTTAGTATCGATTGAATACTAATTCGCATATTGGCCATTAAAAACACAGTAATATCACTATTATTGAGTCATTATTGGAGAAAACTTACCCGGGGCCACTTGAATTTCCGAATTTTTCTCCTAAATATTTTCAATTTCACGTTTAACTGAGGAGTTGCCACGATAATCAAGCTGGGATTGAACGATATGTAAGAGACTTGATCGACTGGTGGTGCAACGAATAATATTCGAGTTACAGAGTTGAGTATTACCTCAAGTAGCTTGGGTAGGTGCACCACAACGCGAGATAACGAGTGAGCATCCACTTGTTTGTTGTGTTTACACAAGTGTAAATAATATATTTCTAAACATAGCTCTAATCCTGACCGTGTGCTCATAAATTATTATCACTTGGTGGCTGTTTAGCACCACAATACGATATATCAGCCCATCGTCAGCCGTACTCTCATATTTTTCAATGCACATCGATATGAATGTGTTGATTTTTCGTATTCTAATGTGCGAATGATTTTGGAATTGTCGGGTTGATATTTTTGCCTCTCAATTTCAGATAACGAGATTGATATCGTTAAAGCTCTTGAGTGTGCACCTGAGGAATTGCCGCAGTGTGAAATTTGTGCGCAAAAATTTTTGAGCAAAAAAGAATTGAGGTCTCATATTACTATTCACCTTGGCCAGCCTAGAATCATCCTGAAGAGGTGCAGCAGCCAGCACAAGAACAGGAAGAGGGAGAAGGATATTTACTCGTTGAATCAGGATCAGAAGGGCTCGCTGAAGTTGACTCTGAAGAAGCAGAAGCACAGTGACTTCACTGTGATTAACAGGGATTTGGATTTAACGACGGATATATCAGAGACGGAGGTGGCTGACACGGAGGGTAATGAGCAAACGGTTGAAGAAGAGACTGAAGAGGAATCGACCAGTGATAGGGATGATAATGCCATGCTGAGGGATGGGAATGAGGATAATGATGATGATAAGTCATCGGACGATAATGATAGACCATCTGCTGAGGTTAATGAAGGTGACTCTGGTGTAGGTAGCGATATGGCTAATCCGTCTGAGAAGGAAGATCAGAATGTTGATGATTTAGCTGGTGAGCAGGAGGAGAATGATGAGCCGGACAAAATTGAGGAGAGCGAGGATCCCGAAGAGTCTGATGCTTTGGAGGCAACGTGCAGGGAGACTATTGAGAATTTGAAAAAGTTGGGCGAACAGTCGAGGTATTTACGATTGATATTAATCTGTATTTTGTTGATAAACTTTTATTCTGTTTCACTATGATGAGAGAAAGAATTAGTTCTGCTGAAAAAGGATGTGTTCCACGTGAGAATATTTGAGAGAGTGGAACAGATTTACTTCAGGGAAATTAACAAATCTAAGGGAAAGAAATTAAAAATGTCATAAAATTTAGAAATCCCAAAGAAAAATTGTTTCCCTGAAAATTATTTTGTTTTGTCAATAACACAGTTTTCAGTGAGAAAATTCAAGTTTTCTCTTGAAATTATCATTAATTCTATGGAAATTATAAGTTTTTACCAGGAAAGAATCTACTCAATAACATTCGCCTAAGGATGTACTTTGGCTATTTTTTCTCCACTAAAATGCGTTTCTACTTTTGTAGTTGAACCCCAGAGCTTTCATTTGAATCCCATTTGACCCTAAGTTTCCAGACATTTTACAATTTTATTATTATCTAAACTTGGGTCTGAATTTAAATCTCGATATTCAATCTTTAGAAAACATTTTTTAAATCTGATAAAAAAATAGAGAGTTTACTTTTGGAAAAAGATTGCTGAAATGATTTAAAAATCGCAATTTTTGAAAATAACAAACATTTTCTATAAATAATTTATAAACAATACCAAATTTATTCATATCCAGAATTTTACCAGAAATTGATTGCATCCCTAAAACAAGCAGGGGACAGCGAGCATATGACAGCGCGTCATATGACAGTGAGCATATCACTTTGTGATGTCTTATTTTTTTTTCGCTATCAAAACGTTGATGACGGGCTTCCGCATGGCCTGAAATATTACAAAAGTTTATAGCTTTACAACACTAACTAGCAGCAAAAATTTCAGATGTTTACTGCCACCTCCATGGGTGCTATAAAAATTCCAATTTTTCCAATACTTCGCATGAACGGGTATACATATTTTCTATCTAAATTTCAAGTTGATATATCCATTTTTGCATAAGCTCGAGTGATCAGAATTTTTTTTCTTAAAAAAAAAATGAAAATCGGAAATATCTCGAAAACTTTGAATGAACGGGTATGTTTTGATTGATTTAGATAGAAGGCATCGAAACGAATATATTGCATATAAAAGATTTTTCGAAAAAGTCGAATATCTTCGAAACTACTGATGCGATTGAACTCATCTTCCATACGAACCGTTGTTATCGCGAAAGGAAAATTCTGTCCAAATTTGAAGTTGATATTTCGATTTTTGCACGAACGAGAGTGATTACAAAGTTTTTTATGAAAAAAATACTCAACCGATTAAGCCCTTAAGAACCCATCAAACAGCCAAAACTGAACCATTCGTAAGCCTGCGTCAATTTCAGTAGCGAAGTGGTAAAACGGTTCAAGTCGATTTTGACTATTGACTATTCACCAGTTTTCAATGAATATTTTGAAATCGAAGGGAGATAGCAAAATTTTTGTCATCACCTTTTTTGTAGCCTTCAGTTCGCTCTACAGAAAAGGTTATACCAACAATTTCATTATCTCCCTTAGTTATTCGGAGATATTCCTCGAAAACTCAGCTAAAGGTTATTTCGACTCAAATCGTTTTACCGCTCTGCTAGTGAATTTATCAATGGCGAAAGAGGATTGTTTACATGTTCACTCTAAAATGGAAGATCTCGCTTTCCAAATGATAAATAAAACAAACTGTTTTTCAAATAAATAATAAAGAAATAATATCTCCCTCTGATCAATACACGATAACTTCAGTTCTAGGTCCGTGAGGAATGACATGTCGCCTAGGGATCCAAACCTCGAGCCCCCCAGTTCTCCAGTCCTCCCCGAGGGCTCCCCAAGTAGCGAAGCAATTCCCGAGACAACCCAAGAGAAAGATGCATCCAATTTCGCCTGGATATCCAACAAAGACGACGAAGACCTGACCAAGAATTCTGATCGATCACCACTGGACCTGCCGGACCCATCAGCCCCAGACAGTGCAACATCCCTCCTCCAGAATTTCCTCCTGGAGCACCACCGAAAAAATCAAACCACCAACGAAGTGATAACACTCCCAGTGGAGACTGAGTACGTCTCATTAGAGAGATTAGCCGAGACAGTGAACACTTGCAGAATATGTAATGAGAAATTTCGAGACATCACGCTCCTGGATGAGCACAGAGCCAAAGCTGGTCATTATCAGTGCAATATTCCCGATTGTTTGAGTTCAGCCTTCAAGACCCGATCGGATTTAACAACTCACAAGGTTCAGGCCCACGGGGCCCCCTTATCCCCAAGTATAAGTATGACTAACATCACGAGATCGTCCCCTCAGTTGAGTGAGGGATCGCCTAGAATGAGTCAAAACTCCCCCCATTTGAGTAATCACTCGCCCCATGGCCTCAATATTGAGCAATCGGGCTCACAAATCACGAGGACGTCACCCCACACCCATTCACCAACGTTTGGACCTGGGGGAAGTGGCCAGATGATTCCCCCAGTGAATTTCGATCAATTGCCAGCTCCTGTTCAACAACTGGCTCAGCAGGTCCAACGTATGCCCCTTCCTCAGGCGCAGATGCCCCCCTCGATGCCTCCAAATGTCAATACAATGATCCCAGGACCAAATTACTACATGCAACCACCTGGGAGACCACCTCCACCCATGTACAGAGCACCTGGACCCCAGGGGATGCAGTATCCACCTCACGTAGCTGCTTATCTCCAGTCACAGTTTGGAGGTTATCAGCCTTATCAAAATCCCCCCATGCATCCACAGATGCAGCAGCAAGTGCCACGAGTCAGGTATCCACCGATGATGCCGGCCCCCAGGGGTCCGAGATTAGCGCAGATCCCTGCACCACCCAGGGCCAGGATAAAGAGGCCTGGACCACCTCCACCGCCCCAGACTATTCCTGTACCGAGAGGCGAACCTGTGGCCAAACAGAGGAGAATGGACGTCCTGCTTCCTGATAGGAATGAGGACGCTGACTGCCATGTTATTGTCCAGCAGAAGAGGAACGATGGCCTGCCGGTTATTCAGAATGTTCAGGGGGCCAGTCAACCCACGGGCAGGAATGACTCTACCATCCATCTGACCGATTCCATCACTCTGAGTGTTCGTCAACCTGGTGAGAATTTTTTTGGTTTATTTTTATTCTTTCTTTTTCTTTTCTGCGGGGTAGACAGTTTCGCGGGAAGTTAGAAGTGAGGGAGATCGGGGAGAATTCAATATTTTTTTTTTTCGTCATTTTACATCGCTTCGACCCGGTTGGGGTATGCTGCGATGATGATCAACACTTTATTGGTTAGATCTCACCATTCTAGCCGGTCGGGTTTTGAACTCGGAACCTTTCGCATGTGACGCAGCGAACTTACCTACTGCGCCAAGCCACCGGGAGAATTCAGTAGTAATGCACAGTAGAACTGCTCCGAAATGGCAAATTTCGCGTATGTAATACCACAAGAGCTTTAAAATTATCAGGTATTTCCGGACAGGTCTGTTGCAAAGAAACGAACGAGCCAAGAAGAATCAACATGAAAAATTACCAATGGAATTACCAACAATTATCAGTTGAATACCATGTTGACTATATAAAATAACAGTCGAATAGTGCAATTCGATTGAGTGAAATTTGGACGAGAGAAATTCTCCGCAAAATTTGGCATATTTTTCATTATGTAGGGAAAGTTGATTTATGAAAATTTATAATACTCGATTATTTTTGGAGCACTAATGTTGCCTGTCGATTTTTTTTACGGTGAAATATTCGAAAAAGTGAAGTCAAGTGCGAAAAAATTCAATAAAAGCATCCAGCGGTTTCGCTTGAGAATTCTAGCGATTTTCTGTTGAAAATAGTATTAGTTTCTTCCCGATCTTATTGAAAAATTCAGCAGCTTTCTCGGGTTCATCTATCTGGTGAGAATTTTTTTTGTTCTTTTTTTTCTTCTTTTCATGGGGGTAGGAAATTTCACGTCAAGTTGGGAGTACGGAAGATTGTGGGATAGGCAGTAGTAATGCAAGCTGTGCTCTAAAATAGTTGGAGTTCTTCCAATAGCTTTGTTTCGTAGCGAACGTGTCAAATTTTTCCTCAAACGTTGGAACATTTTTTCTTTGTGCAGAGAAGGTTGATGATAATACCCGATTAGGTTTGGAGCACGAGTGGTGCCTGTTGGATTTCACATTTCACGAAAAAATGAAAAGTCACGTGGGAAAAAAATGAATAGAAGCCCAGAGCCCATTCGTTTGAAAATTCTAATGATTTTCTATTGAAATTACTATTAGTTTTTTCCAAATCCTATTGAAAAATTCCACTACGCTTTTGCACGTTTTGTTTTGAAGGGAGAAAATTCAATAGATCTTTTACTTTAACAATTTAGAGGAAATATATATCTCGTTTCCTGAGCTCGAAACTCTTCGAAAAAATAATGAAAAATTCGGATTAATAGCCCTATTAATGATCGTATCATTAATTTTGCTCATTTGAGCAAAAAAAAAGCTATGAAATATACACAAATTCGCAAAAAGTGCCTGAAATTTCTAGGGTAATTAACGTGAAAAAATTGCCTGAAAATCTAGTGACTTGAAAATATCGATGCCTATAAAAATTATCGTACAGAAAAAATTGATAGAATTTTATCTTACCACATAACTTATTGTATTCACATTGAGGCTATTTACACCAGGAGGTCAAGTCCGACTAAATTTATGCCTAGTACTGCGTAAGTCTCGTGAAAACAGGAATTTCATCTCCACTCCACGTTTCCATCGAAAGTTACGTAGCACTAGACGTGAACTTGGCCGCATTTGAAGTCCAGGTGTAAATAGATCCATTGCCTATAAGCATTGCCTTTACATTCACTTTACACTTTCCAAGTTTTTTGCTCGATTTGTTAATGAGAGAAAAAAATAAGTATTGGCAAAAACATTTCCAATTTGGGGGCACTGAAAAATTACGTCATATGATGATGGGGGGGAGGGGGGGGTAAAAAGATCCAAAAAACGTATTGTATAATACTTGAATAGTCCCTTTATAACGTGGAATTTTTAACAACCATTTCTACGGGAAAAAACATGCAAAAAAATGTGTACAGAATTTTCCAGCAGAATTATCGAAACACCCATAGAATTTTCAAAATAACTTTAGTAGCATTTTCCAGCGAATGTAAATACAGCGTTATTCTATGGAATTTTGTAGAACACAGAAGATAAAATTGAGGAAAAATTCCGGAAAAAGTCAAGTAATCAATTCTAAACTGGAGGATCAATTTTCCCCGTTTGCTCCAAAAAGTTTACTGATTGTCAGATAATTTATACCAAAATGGAGAGATTTATCCGAAATTTCATTTAAAAAACTACGCCAGGAACTGCGATTAATTTTTCAATGCCTACACTGAGAGAAATATCGTCATAATATCACAAAACTAATTTCTTGCGCCAAATATCTCATGTCTGAGGATAAATTTCTTGGGATAAGAATTCCAGATAATGTGTCAGACATGTCAGATTTCGGTGAAATGTTCATGAGTTGAACATGAACATTTCATGATACAGTGAAAATTTCTTGCCAGAAGAAATCAGTTTTTTCATGTCAGAAGATGAGAAAATGACCAAAAATATTAAAAGCTTCGGTTCAGTCAATCATGAATCAGTGACTTTCATATTGAATGAAAAGAGAGTTTATGCAGAGGAAAACCTCCAGATATTAAAAAAATTTAACCGTCATTTACGCTCAATCGCTTTGAGTTCAAAGGGAAGCAATATCTTCCTTTCCTTCTGTCAAAAGATCCTTGTCTTTTAAGGAATATTATTTCATTTCGAAAAAAGACATCTTTTCATTCAGTAACTTTTTCCTTAGCCCGAGGAGCACCAATTTCTTGTCTGAAACCTACCATAAATCGATCAAATATGTATGCAATGTTTTTCGCCCAAGAAATGATTTTTGTGACATGTCGATTGTTCTCTTAGTGTAGGAATTTTTTTCTAACGGTGATAGATTTTCTGTCTCGGTCACTGTACAGTAGATCTCCACTTTCGTCCATTCCCGTGTCATTGACATCGTTGCTAAATACTGTAACAGTCGGGGAATTGGACTGCACAGAAAACCGGAATTTTTTCTTCCACATATGTCATTTTTCTTACTGACCGAATCGTAGGATATCCTCCACTTGAAGTTTTTTTTGTTACATTTCGCTCCACAATTACCTTCCGTACAGTAAACTTTACCGAGATTTTCGAGACAATTTTTCCTTAAGTTTTCTCCCCGTGTCCGTGGCTACTGCAGAATACCCGAAATAAAACTGTCTGTGAGCTTCGAATACTGCGCTCTGATTGGCTGAACTCCGAGTGAAGAAAATAGTATAATCAGTAATCAGTAGAGTTCACCGACTTTTCTTTCCCGAAAACATTTCCCCGACATTTTTTCTTCAAAAACGCATCGCTGCACTAATTTTTCCCCTTCCATTTCCATCCAATTCCCCCAGTCAATGTCATTTACATAGAAAAAGAATTATTCAATATTGAATTTCCATCAATAATAACCTTGAGTACGCGGGAATAACACTACCAATATTAATAATTTTCCCCCCACACACGCATCAGGATTAAAAGAAATTTTAATATTCAATACTTTTTTTTATAAATAAAATCAATGAAGGGAAAAGAAAGGAAAATAAACGGGGAAAAATTAGTGTGGTAGCATGAGTTTTCGAGGAAGAAATGTCGGGGAAAAAACATTACGAGGAAAATTTCGCGGGGGGGGGAGGGGCAGAAATGTTAGGGAATTTTTTTCAGGAAAGAAAAGACGGGCCACCAACAGTAGTAATGCCCGAGAGCTTAAAAATGAGCGGAATATCTTCCGTTCTGCAGGTTATTGAGGATTTTCCTGCAAAGCTTGACACGATCATTTGTTTGCACGGAAGCTTGAGGGAAATACCCAATTATTTTTTAGCTCGAGGGATATTTGTCGGATTACTTTTTGAGAGCGGATTGCGGCCAGTCAATGTGCAGAATTTCAAGAACAAATAAAGAACTGGTGAACTAGTGTGCAATATCCGATGTTTAAAATTTCCTTCAGCACATCATGTGGCACATCATCCTGCACTTTGATTAGTCGTGATCCGTTCTCGAAAAACAAACAATTTGGTGTTGAGACGGAATTTTGTCAGTCAATTTTTTGGAGATTCAGCGGATATCTAAATTCAAACCATTAGAAACTTCCGAAGCATTCCCATCGTTTGAAATGCAGGTGAAAAAAGAATCAGCCAAACGCCCCAAAGTTGCAAAATTCGTCGGAAATTTTCCTAAAGTTTTCCCGCATATCAATGAGTGGAGAAAGTTTGACAAAAATCCCTCACTCACGTTCAGACTTTTCAAACTAGTAAACTCACCCCCCGCATTGGTATGGATCGAGAGAATGGGAGAATTTCTGAAAATTACAAAGTACTGGGGGTATTCCGGTTGAATGTCCCGAATTTTCAATTGATTCAAAATTCGGTAAATGTGCACTTTGCCAACCTCTATCCATATTGAGTTTTCTGGGGTTCATACCAGCCGCGCCCCCGTCGCGAACCCTGGGTCATGCTAAGTGCCGGTAGGGCTAGTTTAATTCGCCTTACCATGCACTTTGAATTTAATTTGAATACCTTAATATAAAATTCAATATTTATATTAACATGCCTTTAGAGGGAAAGGTGCTGTTTGGAGACACTCGTTGATCTATGTGAGCATCCATTTTATTATATGAGATGACTCAAAGAGGTTTAAAGTCATTGCAAGCAACCTAGGTACGTGAGGGTGATAATGTGTACCTTTACCGCTAGCGGTAAATGTGCACTTTGCCAACCTCTATCCATATTGGGTTTTCTGGGGTTCATACCAGCCGCGTCCCCGTCGCGAACCCTGGGTCATGCTAAGTGCCGGTAGGGCTAGTTTAATTCGCTTTACCATGCACCTTGAATTTAATTTGAATACCTTAATATAAAATTCAATATTTATATGAACATGCTTTTAGAGGGAAAGGTGCTGTTTGGGGACACCCGTTGATTTATGTGAGCATCCATTTTATTATATGAGATGACTCAAAGAGGGGTAAAGTCATTAATAGCAACCTAGGGACGTGAGGGTGATAATGTGTACCTTTATCTTCAAATTAAATTCAAAGTGCATGGTAAAGCGAATTAAACTAGCCCTACCGGCACTTAGCATGACTCAGGGTTCGCGGCGGGGACGCGGCTGGTATGAACCCCAAAAAACCCAATGTGGATAGAGGTTGACAAAGTGCACATTTACCTATTTGAATACCTTAATATAAAATTCAATATTTATATTAACACGCCTTTAGAGGGAAAAGTGCTGTTTGGGGACACCCGTTGATCTATGTGAGCATCCATTTTATTATATGAGATGACGCAAAGAGGTTTAAAGTCATTAATAGCAACCTAGGTACGTGAGGGTGATAATGTGTACCTTTACCCAAAATTCAGTCTAATGCGGTGTTCAAATTCATCGCACTAAATAAAATAAAAAAATCAAATTCGTTATCAAAACTTCCATGTCCGATGAATACGAAAAAACCAAATCTGTAGAAAAGTGGTAAACTAGGATAAGTACAGAAATGGTACTTTTCCAGGAGAGTTAAAAAATTTGGCTATGTTTAACAGAATTTTCGATTCAAGCAATAGAAAATTTTTCAAAATAATTGCAGTCATCCTAGTTTACCACTTCACTACAAAATTATCTTCATTCTCCATAGAAATGAGGAATTCACGAAAAATTTAAGCTCCACACGAATTCGAAATTGCGAAGTTAGAGACATGTAATTGTCAATTAAATTTCCACCAATGTCTCACGGGACTCTTCTTACATTTTTATTTCCATTTTCATTAATTTTTTTACTTTCTTCAACTTTTTGGTTTCACAATCTCGGTGTTGAGATTCGAAAACCCTCGGAAAAAAACAGTCTCTGTTTCTGTTTCTAATAAAAAGGTTCAACTCCAGCTCAACCACCAAATTCCCCAACGACGACAGCCAAAAAACCCGACGCCAAGGCAGTCGCCAATGTCCTGGCAGCGCGCGGTATCACAGTAACACCGGCAGCGAACAAGAACAAAGCGAATGAGCAACAAAAACAGGTGCAACAACAGCAGCAACCCCAACAGGCATCACCCAGGGCTCCGGCTCCAGCACCACCTGTTAATGTCCTCAATCTCAATTCGGCTATTTCGATAATCCCAGCGGCAAGGAAGCAGTCGCAACAGCAGCCAGAGCAAGGTGGACAGTTTGCTGTGCCCCAGAATAAGCAGAGCAAGCCTGCGAACCAGGAAGTTGAGAGACCACCGAGGCCTCCTACAGTAGATCTCACTCAGGACACGCCGGGACCGGAGGCGGCTAGGATCATTCGAAGGGGAAGACCTCCCAGGTAAAATAAAATTAAGGATGTTTAACGTATCGAGTGGACAACTCAGTTGAAAAGAAAAATTAAATTGACTAAATAAATCATTCGTGTTGCAAATTATCTTTCTCGCCCAATTAGAAGTGTTATGGCGTATTTTTCTGGTCTCAAAAACAATAATTCAAGAAAATGATCATAGATAATGGAGGACTTGTGACTGCAGTGGTAACAGTCGAATTTTGATCGGGCAACATCGCATGCTTCCGCTAGTTGTGGGTTGCAACAGTGAGATGAAAGTTTGTGTGTTATACGTGTCTATATTCTTCCATAGCAGTGAATTACACTGAGAGAAAAATGACAAAGTTCTCAAACAAGTCTTACTTGTGCCAAGAAAATAGTTTTTTGAAAATTATCAAAAAAGTATTTTTTTTTGTGCCAAACATGCAGAGAGTGCGCTGGAATGAAAAATTTGTGTCGCATAAATAGATTTAGTAGTTCACAAAAAAATTGCATTCTCTGTACACGCAAGAAATGTCATTTTTAGCACTACTCCTTCGTTATTCGATACCCCAATACGTATTTTGCTCCTGAAAAATCTTTGTTTTATGCGAAACAAGGGATAGTAGTTTTTCGTTTCGGGCTAAGGAGCTAAGTCGACCTGCTGAACCCTTTTACCGCTTCGCTAGTAAACTTCCTCAGAAAGATTTTGTGAATGAAATATTAGTAGACTTCCAGGGAATTTAATAGAAATTTGAATTCCAAACTGATGTGATAATGAAAATACTTAATATTTATGTAAATTCAACTGACAACTGTTTTAGATTTCTAGTTCTGGGATAAATGTTCCCTTGAAAATCGTTCGCGGAAAATTATTTCTCGGAAAAATGTTTTCCGTATTTTCTTTTTTTACGCCGATTCCCATTTTTATGGTTATTCCATCAAATATGGTATAATATAAAATAGAAGAGAACATGAATTTTTATTATATGATTTTTAAGTCATTCTGGGGGCTTATTCGCGAGTTGCGTGAAGACGGATTCATGTGTGCATGCGCCTTCGTGCACGGATCGCTTGTGGGATTACCATGTGCAATATGTAAACGAAGCCTCGTGTAGACCCGAATCCGTCTTTACACAAGTCGAGAATAAGCCCCCAGAGGCGGGGATAATCGATAAAATAACGATGCGTGACTTTTTAGAAATAGTATTTTTCCGGCCTATTACGATGGGGCTTTTTACTCGTGTGGCGTTGGCCTCCGAGCCGTAGGCGAGCGTACGGCTCGGAGGCCAACGCCACACTAGTAAAAAACCCCATCGCAACAGCCCAGGAACAATATTTTTCTGTAGTGATTTTCCAGTTTTCGAGATTGGGAAGTACGTAATACCAATTCCCAGACGAGAAACCGGGAGAAGCAGTACAGAAAAAAAGATTTTTAGATGAAGGGCACTATACTGGGATGTGACAAGTGTGACTCACTAATACTAATTAGTAGCCAGAATCTCGGATGTTTATTCCAAGTTTTACGCGCATTATGCAATGCCACATTAACTCTCAATTGAAAAAAATTGAAAAATGTAAATATCTCGTGAAGTTTATCTGAGCGGGTATTCATGTTTTAATTGATCTTGATAGGGGCGGCAAGACGAGTAATTTGAAAATGAAATAAAATTAATCGGATCAGTAGTTTGGGAGATATTGAAAAAAAGAGTTTTTTTCACAAAAAGTTGAATATCTTCTAAACCACTGGTCCGATTTTGCCTACTCACAATCCCATCCTATAATATCATAAGAGCTACAATCTCACTGAATTTCAACATCCTATCGAAATTTTTTTGGGAGTTATCGTGCACAGAACGATTTTCTCAGAAAAACGAAAAATGCCGATTATTACCAAGCTGTCCTTAGTTGAAGAGCAATGTTCTGATTGAATTTGATAGATATTATCACAAGGATTATTTTGACGCCAAAAAAATTCAATTCAGTCACGTAGTTTTCGAGATATTGAGGGAAACATTTTTTTGAGAATTTGCTATATCTCGGAAACTACTTGTTCGATTGAGTTGAAATCGCGCCCAGAAGTGCTCCAAAGTAATACCAATTATGTGACGAACATCATATCTTTACGGTTCATGACATTCTACGTCATTTCCAGGCAAAATTAGCAGATCGTCAAAATCAATGATTACAAAGCTTTCATTCAGAAGCAAATATTATATTTCAGGACGAGTGCCATGGGGTTTGTTACGTTGTTTGTAAAAAAACGCGACGATGCGTGACTTTTTAGAAAAAAAGATTTTTTTCACACACCTGCACGGAAAGTTCGTACTTTGCTCCCTGATAAGCGGGAGGAAAGTGAGTACTTCCCGCCCTCGGGCGGAAAGTCAAGACTTTCCCTAGGGCGGAAAGTACTCACTTTCCTTCCGCTCATCAGACAGCAAAATACAAACTTTCCTTTACAGGCGTGTTAAAAAATAGCATGTGTACCTCGGGCGGGAAAACATGACTTTCCGCCCTTGATGCACAATATACTATTTCCGTAGTAATTTTCACTTTTACGAGTTTGGGGAAGGGCCAGTACCAATTCCCGGACGAAGAAAAGTGAAGTCAGTACGGAAAAATATTGATACGGTTTGAATAAAGCAAATTATTGCGTTTGAAAAAAATCCTTTTACCAAATTGAGATTTTTTACTACGATCGGAGAGATTATGGTGCCCCTGAGATTGCGCTAAAAAAATTTGGTCGATATTGTAGAGGCGTAAGTACATTTTGGCGCGCGCATTTAGGGAAAGCAGGGATTTACGCTGGAAAATTTTTGGAGCTTGCCTCCCCCTAAAATATTGCCATTTCGGGTATGAGTCAGAGTGGAGGTCAACGTGGGGATAAACGTTAGGCCCAGGGTCCAGGCATCAGGGGTACTTACTTTTAAATCAGTAATTACCCGACTGTCACAACCACAAGATGAATTCTCAATTGAATATTCTTGAAGTGTAAATCTTTTTCTTCATTTAATTTAAATACATCTAACTTAGTGGAAGTGATGTATAAATTCCATCTGCTAGTCGCATGTCACCATAATTATTTCCCACAACATTGACAAACAAAACTCGAGTCATTAACGAATTTCAATTTTTAAAGCAAAGTGAACCCTCATAATACCCTTAAATGAAATTAAAAAACTAAATGTTAAGGATTGACATAAAATGCTCTCCCAATGTATCCAATCTGACCAAAATAATTGATAACTCAATTTTCATATTGCAGATCCGCATTGACATGTCAAATTTGTGACAAGACGTTTGCAAGCCAAGAAATATTAATGCAACACATGACATCTCATCGAGGAACAAATAAATTACTCCACAAGTAAGTCAATTCAATATTCTACATGCATCCATTGCAACGAAACAGATATCGACATAATCATAAATTTTAAGAAAACTTAAATTTTGAATAAGTCAATTGTTAATATTACTCATCAATTTTTTAATTATCAAATTATGGTCCGGATGGATTATCTTTCGAACGTTATCTCGATCGTTTTTCCATCTTCATAATTTAAAATATATCACAATTTCCACTGGATTTTCTCTCCTTTGAAGGAGTATTTTTAATAAAAATTAGAACATAAGTCCGACAGAGAGGAAATTGTAAATGGATAATTTATCATGGCAATTAACTGTCTGACAGGTATTGTCTACTGAGACAAATGACGACTGAACAGTTATTAGATACTGTAAATTATTAATTTGCATTTTCCTCCTCATTGGATTTATTTCCCAATATTATTCAAAAACGCTCTTCGAAAATGTTCAGTTTTTTAAAATGTTTTTTTGATTGTACGAAAGATTTTTGTATAGACTATCAAAATAAAAAAAAACAATATCCCATTCGAAAGATAATACACGTGGGCCTATTCATCAATGAATTATTCAAATTCCGAATCATTTTATCAATCAATAATGGAGTTCAGAAGATTGACGATGATTTGGTTAATCGAAAATCCTTTTTATGAAATTTAGAAATATTTACTCGTCAATTGACATTTTAAAATATAAATTCAGTAGTAAAGCGGTCAAATGGTTTAAGTCAATTTCATTCTAGCGCCAGTTCTCGATGAATATCTCAAATTCTAAAGGAGTTCGCAAAATTTTCCTAAAAATCTTTTTTCTAAAGAAAAGACTATCGAAATGACTATGAAGACTATCGAAAAAGATCTTACACAAATTTCGCTATCTTCCTTAAATTTCGAGCTATTCAACAAAAACTCAACTGGAAGCTAAGCCGACTTGAACCGATAGACCACTTCACTACTGAGTATTTGATTATTCTTCAAATTTCAATGAAAATAAGTAAAACTTAATTATTATAAGCTGCAACTTTTCGTAATATTACTACACTAACGATTGATGCCGATCCATGCAATGAAATTTCGATTGAATACTCATTCCAATACTCTCTCTTCCAGATGTAATTTGTGCACCGCTCAGTACCCCAACGCCCAGGCCCTAGCGGTCCACAAGCAAACGTACCACAAAGACATGGAAGTGGCATCGACAAATGGTGGAACGGAATTGGCAATTCCCGTTGTAGATCTAAAATCCCCTCAAGCATTAAACAGATTACAGAGTCTAGGAATTCATAGTTATATTCCATTATCACAATTGAGTGCTCAAACCGGTGGTTACTTTGGTCTACCGATCATAACAATTGACGGACCAAGAAATCAAAATTCATGTAATTTAGGTGCACTAGGTGCTACTTCGATATTAAGTCTAGGCCCCCTAAAACACCTGTCGAACAGGTAACTACAATTTTCGGTAAGCTAAGATCAATGATATTTCATTTCAGTAGCTTTCTTTGGCAATGCCATGACTGTGTTATTAAACAAATTCATTTAATAAAAAAATTTTCGAATGCCAAACCCTTGAGAAAGATAACAGTATATTGAATATTGGAAATGAAAGATATTTATAGATATGCGGATAGGGAAGAGACATAATATTTCAATGTAGAGCACAATATAATTTGGTTCTATTGCATGTTTTAATGTCGGTCTTGGGGTTTTTATGATGCGTAGAGAACGAGGGCATAGGATTTTTCCATCAGATAACATTTGAAACAGCAGTATTCAGTGATAGAATTCCACAAGGACAAAATTTTCTCATACCTGAAAAGATACCAGTTTTCGTGGGATAATACGTTTACTTTTGAATTTTCTGTTACGAATTAATTTTAAGCGAAAATAGTTTTTACGCGCTTTAGAATTAATCACACAGACTCATCACTGAATGCATATGAGTATAAAATTTATTCTCTATCTCTCGAATCGAAAGACGATAAGTTTCCGGTGATAACTGACGACCAATTGATGCACTAATATTTGCGTAAAGTTATATTAGCTTTAAATACTGTGTGTCAAGTACTTAAGTGCATGTAAATATGTTTGTTCGATTAATCAGTGAGAGTTACGAGAGAGTTGACGTTTTATCCCTTTTTAATGAGAAAAATAGAATAATTTATTGGTTTTTCTTGTCCTATATTGATAAAGAGTGGCATGAAAGATCTTTGGTGATAAATCCCATAGTTCAGAACTGATTTTATATATCACTGTTGTACATACTGTATCATAATTATTTTTAAGAATACTACAGCTGAATAACGAGTGTAGGTGTAAGGAGAAAAAATTACAAAGAGTAATATGATGTTACAGTCTCTGTCATCTAATTATTTTATAAAAATTATTAATTGTCACGGTGTTCTTTTCCATTTTATGATAGATAGAGGATAATAGAACAGAATATTGATAGATAAGTTTATGAAATTCATTTTTGAAGAATAAAAACATTGAATTCAGTATTTTATTATCTTCGTAATGCGTTGAAGAGTTATGAGTAAAATATAATTTCGTAAATAATAATTAGGTTTTGTATTCTTATTCTACCTTTCAAGTGCCCATTTCAATAACATTTAGGTCTTCACTTGAAAATATACAAGTGAAGACACTGGGTTGACACTAGGTTGTAGAACAGGTTGACATGATTTTATAATTTAGACTTTCGAATTCGACACTTGACTCTCTATTTTGAACGGTTAATTTGACAATGTGAAAAATAAGGAAGTTTTATTTTTGAAAAAAAATCTACAATAAGTGAAAGCTTTCAATTTTTAAAGAGTCCAATTTTCTGAAATAATTAATAAACAATTAATTTTCTACGGCAGATATCATTTTTTTGAAATCGTAAGAAATTTCAGTAGCGCAGCGATAAAACGGTTCAAGTCGACTTAGCTCTTTCAATTAGTTGAGTTTTAGAGAAATATCTCCGAATTTAAGGAAAATAGCGAAATATTTGTAATGACCTTTTTTGTAGAGAGAATTGAGAGCTACAAGAAAGGTTGTAACAAAAATTTTGCTATCTGCCTTAGATTCCGAGGTATTCATTGACAACCGACCAATAGTCGAAATTCACATAAAATAAAGTTTCTGAACGTTAAAAAAATTTTCTTATTTGACTTCGGAAAAAGGAAGAGTCATTTTTTGCAAAGTGTGATTCGGTTGGCGCTAGTAATTCATGATCTTTGATCACAAAATTTATAATAATGATGAAACTGCGGGGCTGGTCGCTCCGAAACTAGAAATTTACCTCAAGTTTCTGTACAGGTATCAAAATTGCTTTAATAATTGGAAAAAAATTGACTTCTCAACAACAATTTGTCAAAGAATCAATTGAGCCAATTCAATGAATAAGGATTATTAATTCTCCTATAATTCTTCAGCTTCAAACCATGATCACATAAAATAGAAAACTAATAGATCAAGAATATTTAAACTTCCTCTGCATTTTGATGGCAAAATTTTTCTTGTGAGAGGAAATGTATGAGACAAAATGCAGAGGAAAAATTCAAATTTCCTCAAATTATTAGTTCACAATGTTATATGAACATGGTTTGAATATGAAGAATTGCGTATAATTCTTAACCTTTATTAATTGAATTTTCTCAGTGGACTCTTTGAGAGATCATTATTGTACCCCCTGTTGATTTTTTGAAATTAATTCTGTTGAATTGAAAAACTCACATGCTCACTATCTTCCAAACAGCACAATCATTTGAAATTGTACGAAAATATTTGAAACGCAAAGACTGTATTTTTTTCCGAAATTTCAGCTATATTTTTTCCAATTTGACCGATTTATTCTTAAATTTGAGTCTGGAGCAATATTCTTTCAATTCCCCACTTCTCCAACCGATTACATAGAGTCCCTTTTTTCAGTCATACATTCTGTCGGCTACGTAGGGAGTAAAACATACCGTAACATGCCGGCTAGGTGTCATTTAACTCCACCTCTGTTGTCCAACTTGTTCTCGCCAGCTGATTGTCTCTCAAACAAAAAATAACCTGCAACAGCAGAATGTTATGCTGTCACAGCAGATCATAAGAAGAACATTCAACCGCAAATGCGAATATGTTCGGGACATTAAAGAGTAAATTCCAAACTGTACAGGATGGTATATCTGCGAGGTAAAATTCTACATTGTTTCTTGTTCTAACGTGAAGTTGTCTTGTCTTGTCAACAATAAGTGGAGGAGTGGAGCGAAAACAAAACATTGACTGTTTCAGTTTGCGGGGATTCTCAATATCGGAAAGTCCAAAAACTAAAAAATCTTTGCATGCTGGAAAAGTGAATTATGGAGCCGGAGCAGATATTCTGCATCACTTCCAACTCCAGTGGAATGAGTTGCATGAACTTGCGGAGGAGAATGCAACGAAAGCACGTGAGGTTGACATTTTGATCGGTGGAATTTATGAGAGGCTCGACAGACAATGGAGTAGCATTAACATTTTGAATGCAACACTGGCAGCGATACCAAAAATTAACAATGACATTCAGAATCTGATGGATCAAATAGGTAATGCGTCGATTCATTCGATGCTCAGACATTTCCCAGTTCGTTTTGTCTGACTGAATTAAATTGATTGGGCGCAGGTTCGTTGGAGGAGGCGTTCGAGGAAGTTGAAGCTGCCTTGTATAGGCTAGAGGATTTGAATGAGACATTGGAACTTCAGAATAGACAGTTGGACCATAGGTTTCAGTTGGCTCTGTACAAGGAGAAGAAGCTGGCAGAGTTGGATTCTGTCAGAGGTGAACATTTTCATGATTTTATTCTTTATTAGGGAACCTCCCCCAGGAGTTCCTTTCCCTTGAATCTTTTTTTTTCTTTACATTTTCTGGAGAAATTCGTGAATTTCCACAAGAAGTTAAACTTTTTCTCAAATTTTTGAGAAGACTTGAAAATTTCGTTAAATTTTTTTAGAAGACTCGAATTTCTTTGAAATTCTAGTCGAAAATAACCGAAAATATGCTTGAAGTTTACTACAAATTTATGATTCTATTTTATTTTTCATGATTTTATTGTTTATTAAAGCCCCCCTCCCTGCATTCCTCGGGGAGTTCCTTTCTCTTAAATGTTTTTTTTCTTCAAATGTGCGGAAAAAACTCCTGATTTTTTACAAGAAATTGAAATTTTTCTCAGAATTTTCAGAAAATCCCAAAATTTCATCAAATTTTTTTTAAAAACTGTCTCAAATCATCACAAATATTCTTTTTACCCCCGACGGCAAACAAGAGGGAGGGGTATATGCTTTTGACGGTCCACAACACGACTCTTTGATATCTGCGTTTGGACGAAACTACATGAAAAACGATTCGAAAAAATTAATATTTATATCAGGAATAAAGAGAACATTCCGGGGAACTCCACTACGCAGCCCGATTTTTGATTAAGTACTCCGTTTTTCTAACAGTATTGGAATATTGGTTTTCTTCAGAAATGGGTTCAATGAATAATTTATGTAGTTTTGAATTGCCCAGTCCTCATCATGATAAAACCCTTTTCATTAATATTCATTCATCATTAATCTTGGATAACCGTTAACCAGTGAATCAAACTGATACGACGACATTAATTGCTATCATAATTATTTAAATTTTCCAATCCTCTTCAGTGATCGAAGAAACATCACTAATTATTATTCGTCATAATCGAGATTTATTACATCGTAATTTTCCTATTCGATTCTACAGCTAAACTAGCTAGAGAGCATAAAGAGAGAGTTCTACAGCAAGAATTGAAGCAGCAGAAGACATTGAAAGAGAGACAAGAGACCTTCGAAGAGGTCTTCAGAGGGGAATTAGAGAATTACAAAGTTACCGGCTCTGTACCTAGTGAGTTTCCCTTTTTATGGGTTTTATAATGAACAAAAGCGACAGTGCGATACATTTTCATTTTGTTTCAGAAGTAGCATCACCTCATAAAGGTCCAACCCTGGAAGAGATCGTCCTGGAGGACGATTCAACTGATTTCGATGAATTTTTGGAGAGCTAGAAGCCCGAGTTACTTTATATTTATAATTGTGATCATTGAGCTTATCCATTTGATCCGAAGACCCTTTTGTAATAGATTATTTAGAATAGAATTTATATAAGGGCAGTTCTTTTTTTTCGCTATTTTTCGCCACTATATTTGTATAGATTTAATAACAATATATTTAATTACTGAAATCAGAGCTCTGAATTTTTCATTTACAGGTGATATGACCCACCTTTTACGTTGGAACTCTTGCGTTTTACGTTTAAAAATTGTATGTCAATTGAGCACTAAATTTTTTTCTTTCGTATCCCCTTTCGGGTCTTTACGATTTGTTCCCTTCTTCCCACCCCCAACCCACAGAGAGAAAAACAAAATAAAACCGTGAGATTTAGAATGTCACAAATTTTTGCCCCTCCCCTTCCCACGGGTTAAACAAAGTCCGTCAAGAAATATGGGATGCTTACTGCCGTAATAAGCACGCCAAAAAAATAGGAAATTTCGATACGAGTGCGTAAAAGTGTTTTTTGCGACGGCGAGTGCTACCCTATCGTCAAAGAATAGTTTTCCCACGAGTGTCGAACACAGACAGCCACATTCATAAATTAGAATTACCGTTAAATTTTCAAGCAGTCAATTGGTTAATATTACTCTACAATTTTTTAATTATTAAAATAATTCTCAATTGAATATTCAAATTCCGAATTATTTTATCAATCAATCAATCAGTTAGGAAGATTGACGATTATTTGGTGAATCGAAAATCCTTCCTATGGAATTTAGTATTATTTACTCAATGGACAATTAACAGTCCCATATTATCAATTATGTAATTATTTTTTAATTTCGATAATTTATATGTGAACCTTAATCAATGGATGGCTCAAATTCTTTTAAATATTGAAGAATTCAATATTGATGGCCATTCCTGGTGTAGAACCCTATTTTTCATCTCAATGTGTGGAAAGTGGAATTTTGCGCACAAGTGATGAAATAGTATATTTCGTTACGAGGGCAGAAAAGAGTTTTTTGGCTCGTGAGATTATATCACTCGCCTTCCGCTCGTGCTGTAAACCTCCCACGAGCCAAAAAACACTTTTCCCACGAGTATCGAACAAAATTTTTCATCACGCTGTGACGAAAAGTGAACTTTTCGGCACGCTCCGCGTGCCTGAAAGTCCAATTTCCGCCACATTGTGATGAAAAATATTGTTCGTAACTCGTGAAAAAATGTTTTTTAGCTCCTGGGATTATATCACTCGCCAAAAAACACCTTTTTGCCCTCGTTACGAGATATACTATTTCGTCACAATGTGTGGAAAAAGGGACGTTTTAGGCACGCTTTGCGTGCCTAAAAAGTTACTTTTTCGCACAGTGTGATGAAAACGCTATTAAAAAACTCTAAACTATCCTCATACGTGCAATCATCGATTGATGGTTTTTATGAACACTTCTTTATCGAACGTATTAGTTCACGCGCGCCACCGCCACAAAAAAATCAGTGGTTTCAACTTTTCACGTACGTCTGATCCTGATCAATCAACTCTATTATCTCTGGTGTTTACCATCGCGCTCCTCACAATCTGTTAAAAATGTCAAAAGATTATAAAAAATCGGGGTTCCAATTTTTTCGTAAGATTAAAAATACGTAGAATTTCCTCATATTTGAGTGAAAATTAGGATAGATGATGTCTGTTCCCTCAGTTCGGTGGTGTTTAGTGAGATAACCGTATGAGTGGACACTTGTTGAAAAGTACATGTGATGCCTGTGTGAGCGATTTTTATTCTACGCATAACTATCTTGCCAATCAACTGCCATTTTCGTAAATTAACCAGAATACAAAATAATTTTTTCACTATAAGAATGCAAGATGTGCTGGAAATATGTATTTATTATACTCCTGTTCGTTTGCACAGTAGAATCCGGCTATGAGGATGATAATGTATGCAAAATTCATTTGTTTTATTTATCGGGTTTCTGTTTATGTACGCATCTTTATTCATTCGCATTTATTTATAGTGTATTTACAAATATATTTGCGACGACGAACCAACCAAATACGAGAGGGATATTCAAGGAAGAAAAATACAATGCAATATCGATGACATTCCCAAGAATGAGTTGATTCTGATAAGTGAAGGAAATTCCAGTAAATAATCTTTCATTTTTCATGATTGCGCACGTATGAAAAAATTCAATCGAAAACTTTAGAATTACATTGGAATTCGCTTCCATTCAAAATTATATTATTTTGGGGTGCGATTTTTTCATAGATATTTAATAGAAAAAGTCAACGGATTCTGATTTCTCGTGTGTGGATTTTTTCTTTTATTTCATAGATTTTATAATGAGAAACGAAATAAAATCCCGTGGACGAAAACGTGGAAAATTTTTCGATAATCTTCAGGGAATAATCAAATAGAAGAAGCGACATTTATCGCCTTTTTCCTATCCAATGTATCCATCAAAAAATTGCACGGAATTATAGTTTTCCAACAGAAATCCAATAGAACTCCTCAGCGAAAGGGCTAGGTTTTTCGACTGAATTTTTTCATATTGATGGAACAATATAGAATTTTCTAATTCACGATAATTTACTGTTCCTGTTCTAGGCACATTGAAAACAATTCTGAATCTACCGAATGTTGAATGCGCCTATGACGTTGCCTTAGTCGTTAATTCCACAGTCAAGAGTCAAGAGGAGTGCGAACACCACGAGTTCAACGATGATTCCAGTTCTTATCAAGAAGTTTACACCGATTACCGGATTTGTGTGGTGGATGAGCAATCTCGAAGGGAGAATGGAAGTAATGAAGAACCAACTTGCAAGGTAATGTTGATTATAAAGTCTCTACGTCTCACAGCTGCATATTTAAAATAAACCATTGCATTTGCAGGAGGACAAAATTGTTCTCAGTCACGAGCACATATTCACTGGTTGTTACGCCCTTCGTTTTTCCATCGACGATGAGTACAAATATGTTTACCAGGGGAGAAAATACATTGTCTCGAATTATGAATTGACAAAAGTACAAGAACCGACGCACCAATGCACGTATTTCAACAGGGAAGATGTCAACAATAGGTAATTGAATTGAAACATTTTGATGATATCCTTATGCTGCATGGACTTGTAATTTCTTTTGCATTGTGGAAAGTTACATTGTAGGGGAGAACATTTGGTAACATTTGGTAATGACACATTTTCTGCATTCAGTGCACGCACGAAAAGAATTTATTGGCCCATTCGCTTGGAAATATCGTTTGATTTTCATTGAAAATTTTATACATTTCTGCAGAAGTCATTCTATTCAGATACTAGGGGGCTACGCCCCCTACTCATTCCGTTCGCCACCCCTTATATGACCCCCGTAATCCTTAACCTGACTCTCACGATCCTTAATGACCCTCGTGACCCTTAATCTAATCCTTGTAACCCTTAATCTGACCCTCGTGCCCCTCATTCTGACCCTCATTATATCCCTCGTGACCCTTAATCTGATCCATATGATCTGTAATCTGGCTCTCACGACCCTTAATCTGACCCTTGCGACCCTTATTCTGACCCTCATTATATCTCTCGCGACCCTTATTCTGACCCTCATTATACCCCTCACGACCCTTAATCTGAGCCATATGACCTTTAATCTGACACTTGTGACCCTTCATCTGGCTCTTACGACCCTTAATCTGACCCTCGTGACCCTTAATCTGACGCTTGCGGCCCTTAATCTGACTCTTGCGACTCTTAATCTGTCACTTGCGGCCCTTAATTGTGGAGTCTTAATTTCGAGTACCAAATTTTTATCACCAGAAGTCGATTTGGATTTTTATAATATAGAGATTTTCTACCAGAATTCCTCGGCATTATTTTTTCCTCCTTTTTCACTGCATTTTGTTTCTTTCATAAAAAAAATTCAAGCGCAAAACTTGGAAATTTTAATTTGAGTAAGTTGCACAGAAAAATTGAATCTATTAATTTCTTTTTATTAAATATTTTTTATTGAACATTTAAATTAAATAAGAATTTTTCCACAGTTTTTCCATAAATTTTTTTCGTACGTATGACAATTATCTCTCCATATAGAATAAGTAAAAATAAAAATTACTTCTTAAATAATAATCCTTACACTTTTCAAATCTCCTTTGAATGTGCTTTCAATCTCTGGAATGGGAAAAACAATTACACTATTCTTCCAGTAGTGATGGAGTAATGTTCAGCCTGGATATTTCGTTGCACTCTGCCTCCCCAACATTGCATTTAGGATTGCGAACATTCCCTACTGACCATGAAAGTGAAAACAATGCCTGCACCAACTACGGTAGAGATTACCACGGGGATGAGTGGGCCATTAATATGGTAATCAATATTCCGCAAGTTTTTTTCTTATGTTTCTGATTATACTTCTGGTACACGAATAAAATAATTATTGTACTGGGTCACTGACTAGCATGTGCATGATCTCAATCCTATGAAAGTAATTGACGATAAATTTCTGCAGTGTGGAATGTTGAAATGTTTTTTTTCAGAACAGTTCAGCTTCTCGGACATCGTTCACGAGGAACTGCAGTTTCATGACGGTAAACCATGAAATTGACTCATTTTGCAGTATATTTTACTTAATTTTTGCTTCCGAATATTTAATTATTGCATTGTATTTGTCGAATATGAAATTTCCGTTTTTTTGGGTCACATTCTATCCCACGCATTTTTCGAAACGGTATAGTGTGTGTAAAGCGGTTGTTTTCGTAAATTCGAAATTGACTTTTCATCACTTGTGCGTCAAGTGAAATTTTACCCACGCTCCGTGTGCGCAAAATCCCACTTTCCACACATTGTGATGAAAAATAGGATTCGACACTCGTGGGAAAAGTGCTCTTTGTCCTTTGAAAGGGCAGCACTTGCCTTCGGTGAGCGCTACACACCTCCCGCGGATCAAAAAACACTTTTTCATCACGCTGTCTGCAAAGTGACATTTTACGCACTTACCACATTGTGATGAAAAATAGGGTTCGATACTCGCCGGGAAAGTGTTTTTGGGCTCGTGGGAGGTTTATAGCACGAGCCGAAGGCGAGTGATATAATCCCAGGAGTCTAAAAACACTTTTCAATACGCAATCGTATTGAAATATACTATTTCATCACGCTGTGACGAAAAGTGAACTTAAAAGTCCAATTTCCGCCACATTGTGATGGAAAATATTGTTCGTGACTCGTGAAAAAATGTTTTTTAGCTCGTGGGATTACATCACTCGCCTTCGGCTCGTGATATGAATCTCCCACTCGCCAAAAAACACTTTTTTGAACTCGTTACGAAATATACTATTTTGATACTTCGGCTATGTTCACCTCGTGCCGAAAAGTACTTTTTCGTTTACTCGTAAACGAAAAGTCTTTTCGTTTACTTGTACACGAAAAAGGCACAGTTCGGCCACTCGCTGAACATAACATCACTGTCAAAATAGTATATTTCGTAACGAGTGCAAAAAAGTGTTTTTTGGCGAGTGGGAGGTTTATATCACGAGCCAAAGGCGAGTGATATAATCCCACGAGCTAAAAAACATTTTTTCACGAGTTACGAACAATATTTTTCATCACAATGTGTCGGAAATTCGCGTGCCTAAAAGTTCACTTTTCATCACAGCGTGATGAAAAATATTGTTCGACATATGTGAGACGGGGCAATGTTAATTAGCGACGTTGGGACAATGTTGGCTGCCAACATTGGAACAATGTTGAATTTAATGAATCATTGAATTCAATTTAAAATACATCGTCATAGAAATTCCATTCGGAAGCAAGTTACTAATTTATTAGCAAAAATATATGGACTATACTATAACAAAAGCAATTACCCACTTGTTTATCCTTATATTAGGTTCATGAGAATCTCACATTCCATACTTCGTACGCCGAAAGTATAGATTGTCGTTTTTCGCTCGGTGTACCATCGAATATGAGTTATTGCTTCAAACTGAGGGTCATTGATGAGCGTTGTAGTAAAGGTTCTCTCTGGAACATTCCACGAAGATCCTACCCCTGCACATGGATGCTAGGTGATGATATTTGAAATTCCGATTACTAATTTCATGGCATACTTCCAAACCATTTAGCAGTTCAGCATTTTTTTACCAAAATTACATATCATACAAAATGCAGTCCCTTCATTGTTTGATACACGTGATGTTCTGTATCAACTCTTCGCCTCCAGGAATTGACATCCGCACATTCTAATTACCCGATACGCAGTGAATTTGCCTAAATTGCAATGTACCATCCCAATTACAGGTTGTGCAATCTGAATTTCACATTTTGCAAATCAAACTTGTAAATGTTAATTCATTGCGCGCGAATGAACATATATAATTCAAGTAGGAAAGAGTGGGTCAAACGGATATCAATGAAATTCCCTGATTTTTCTTTCATTTCGTTGATATATATTTTTTTATTTCAAAGGGGGGCTCAAATGTTATACTGAGAAAAAAAATATTTTTGCCAAATATCCATTTACTTGAGAGAAGTATTTATTTTTTCAATATCGTATTTCTCCATTCGAGTCATTCTCAGGCAATTCTCATTAGGTTTCAATCATGTCAATTATATTGCTCTAGAATATGATCATGTTAGTTATGACCTTGAGTGAACTTCTTCAATAATTATCAACATTAAAAAATTGATCGAAATTCTGCCCTGTAGAAAATGAAAAATTTTGGAAATATGAATAATCATTAGAAGAATCCATCCAAGGTCATGTGCAACATAGTCATCCTCTAGAGGAACATGACTGTTGTAATTGAAACTTAGTCAGGCTCTCCTGGGAATGACTCGATTGGAGAAATACGATTTTGAAAAAATAAATACTTCCCTCAAGTAAATGAATATTTGGCAAAAATATATTTTTTTCTCAATGTACGTCTCAAGTTTAGGGACGATGCAAATCATCGAATTATATGAAAAGCAGAGTGGGAGAGGCAGGCAGACGAAAAAGGGGAGCCTACACGGAGAGAAATGTTCAGTAAAAATTACGGAACTCACAATTCGCTTACCGATTACGGAATTAATTCAGAAAATTTAAGTGATGGTATCGTAATTTTTCACAGGAGATTTAGATAAAAATTACGGAACTCACAATTCGCTTACCGATTACGGAATTAATTCAGAAAATTTAAGTGATGGTATCGTAATTTTTCACAGGAGATTTAGATAAAAATTACGGAACTCACAATTCGCTTACCGATTACGGAATTAATTCAGAAAATTTAAGTGATGGTATCGTAATTTTTCACAGGAGATTTAGATAAAAATTACGGAACTCACAATTCGCTTACCGATTACGGAATTAATTCAGAAAATTTAAGTGATGGTATCGTAATTTTTCACAGGAGATTTAGATAAAAATTACGGAACGCTCTGGAAAAATTCCGCGACAATTTCGTAAAGTTTCCTACAGCCACATTTCGCTCCGGAATTACGGAAAAGATACGGAATTTTTGTTGAATATTTTTCTCTGTGTATAAAACTGTAACGGTAGTAGGAAAGAAATCAATGAATAAAAAAGTAAATAAATAAAACATCGAATTTGTCAAAGAATAAAGGCCCATTGGTGTATGATAGGTGATTCTGTGGAGAAAATGCTGTGTCCGTGGAAGTAGGCCGATTTCATAACAGAATTCACCGGGTAATTTTCAATTCGCCTTATTCCAGAATGCAACAGGGATCCAAAGATTCGTGGAACATCCGAACACCTCGGAGAAGTTGACGGCCCCAGGAAAATCATATCTGAGAGCAGTCTCTTTCTCCCTGTGGGTATTGCACTGGTTCTCTTCGTTTTCGCCATATCGGGCATTTTGATGGCCGTGCATCGATGGAGATCCACCTCGCGGCAGGCTTATCTCAACGCGAATATGCGAGACTTGAGAGTTGCGAGTAACACAGAGGCTGATGTGGTTGATACTGACGATGAGCTGAGAAAATGTGGGAAAACGGGTGATATTGACGAAACGAAGGGAATTGTTCTTTTATACGCCAGGGGTTCTACTTCGTTCATGGCTTTTATGACAGAGTTCAAGGATGTTCTTAAACTTTATTGCAGGTGCCACGTAAGTAATTTTTATTTTTCATTAGCTGTCGCTCCCCCCCCCCTCTCCTGGCCGCACCGGCGTTGCCGGGATGCAAGATGTTAAAATGTATCTTATTTTTTTGTATGATACGAGATCGGCCGCGCGCACGCGCCTTCACATCTCCACTTACGCTTATCTGACATTTTCGAGATATATCGAGATCGATTTCCTTCCTCCTTTTTACGATAGGATCCTATTCTAAGAAGAACATGTACCGTATGGTATACTATGGTATGATATATTTTTTAAATATAACCATATAACTTAATATAACAAAATAGATCGGTGACAGAAACCTTAACACCTATTTTTTTTTATAGAGGAATAATCTAGAACTTTACAGAAAGTTTTAGAAGTTTTTAGGCAGTTTTGCCAACATTGTCCAGTGGGGTCTAGAAAAAAAAGATAATGCCAACGCTTAATAAAAGGATTGAACTATGAACTCTCATTTTTTCCGAATTTTTAAGCGTCGATAAACACGCTAAAATATTAAAAAATGAGAACGGACGGCGCCTGAATAATACTGAATAATAGTGGAAATTCGATCGGAGTCCATTCGATTATTTTTGTATGAATCGTAAATAGAAAGTAGACAACACATTTATTTATTATACGTAATATAAGATGTTTCGTTTTGAGGTTTCGTATGAATCGCTCTTGATTCTTTTATTTCAAGGTTTATGATTGGTATGCCCCTTGTGAATGGAACGAGGTGGCCAAGGTTGGTGCTTGTGATTGGGCTACGAATCTATTCAAGAATCATCATCGCGCTGTGTGGATTGATACACCTGGTGCCAGATCGCTGGCTTCCAATCGTTTCGGCGATGACAAGTGCGGTGCGGAAGCCATCAGCGATTTTCGGGATATGGCTTTCTTCGCTGTTCTAGATTATGCCAAGCGCAGTGTCTTAAACACTAAACTGCAGTATAGTAGACATTTCATTGCGAGGTAGTAAAACTCGTAATTGATTTGGATGATTCGAGAAAGGTGCTGGAATTTCACCTGTCACTTCTAATTTGACAAATTTTTGATCTTTGATTTCAGACTCGAAGGATTTGATAATGGAACCTCCACCGAAGACCCATTCTCGGATCTCTCTCCTCATGCTCGTTACCTCATTCCTTATCACCTCAGTCAACTGTGCTCACACTTGTTAGTTTAATTATACATAATGGAAATTAATATCGTATCGTGAAAGGGAATTAATTAAGCTAATAATTTTCAGGTCATTGAGAAAATCCGACAGTAGTGGCCAGGCGCTGATGACTGAAGAGGCTCAAATGAGGGAACGTTTGAAACAATTTAAAAATGAATCGAAATACATGTGATTTATTTCTAAGATTTTTTACAAGATTACTTCATGTGAATTACAATTTTTTCGAGATAATTATTGGATCTTGTTTTAATTATAATTATTCCCATTATCTTTCTATACCTTTCGGTTTTTACGGATACTGTTCCTTCACATTTTTAGTTTTCGAGTTTCAACCATCGTTCTTTCCGGGGTGTTTCCTCGTGGTCATCATTCCGCTTGCGACCATCGTTTGCCCATCGCTGGTTAACTTTCTGAAGCTGAGCCTGCCCATTAACGCAGTGTCTAGCCCCTCCAATTTATTGTTTTAAGGCCTGACTTCATTATCTGCTAAACCTTATCTAGATTGCTCGAGCAGGCAGTTTTCCCCGAAGGTTTATGAGAACGATGGGTAATTGCATCTTTCTTGTGCACGCACGTAATAACATAAACGAATAACTTGAAGATCAGAAATTCCCTCAGGAACAAGACCTCATTAAACTGAGGTCGCTCGCTCTGTTAACGAATTCGCACGATCACGAATTCGCATTTCTTGTCTTTGTATTTTTCGGAGTTTGATATTTTCAAAGCTTGTTCAGACATGATGTAGAATGTTATGAAACATGAAGAAATTATATGTTTTACACCATGTCTGTACGTATGTGTGTAACAATTTCGATTTTCGGTGAGTTATTTTCAGAAAATGTCGCATAAATAGGGGGGTAACATTCGTCGATGAAAATCTGACAGTTTGGCATAGGATAGCTATGATTGAGCTTAACTTTGGCGCGCAGTTTCAGCCCGATTGGTCCAGTAATTCCTGAGATGTAGCAATTTGTTTTAAAAACTTGATTTTTAATTTACGTTTTTCCTCAATATCTCGGAAACAAATTCGATTCCTTTGGAAAGGCAAGTGCCGTTTCAGAAATAACAGAAAAAACGCTCTCAGAAAGTATAATAAACTCGTCCGCTATTGAAAAAAATAGGATGTGTTATGTGTGCGTGCGAAATATTCCGTCATTTAGAGGGTATAGAATGACAGGAAATTCTGTCAAAAATTGAATACAACAGAATTTAGATCACTATCTACATGAGTTTCCGAGATATACTCATATATTGCATTTCGACGATTTCGACATAAAGACTAAAAAAACTTTTTCTGTACTGCTTCTCACGATTTCTCGTCTGGGAATTGGTATTGCATACTTCTCAAACTCGAAAACTTGAAAATCACTACAAAAAATCTTGTCCCGGGCTGCTGCGATGGGGTTTTTTACTCGTGTGGTTGGCCAGTCCTCGCCTTTGGCGCGGACGCCATCGCGACGCGAGTAAAAAACCCCATCGCAGCAGCCCAGAGAAAATACTATTTCTCGCGGACATAAACCCGAGCCGAAGACGAGGGTTGCAATCATATGAACGAAAAATATTTTTTGTATTTATCGTTATGACAAAAAATATAAAATATCCTCTCTGAATCAACTTCAAGAAATCAATCGAGAAATGTAAAACAAATCATTTTCTTTTATTACAACATCATATAAAATCTACATTTACACGCGTTCCCACTAAAATACATATTACGAAAACATTCACGTTCCATGTATAATAGGTGGTACAGTAGAATAATTTCATAATAATAAACGCAGACACACGAAAAATACACATCAAATGCGAAGATACAGTTAGTAAAAAATAAACCATTTAGAATTCACTGTAACTTTTTTACATTTTTACCTTTGCTATCATCACAATTATATATTCATTACAAACGATTTACGTCCGCCATGATCACCCAACTAATTTTACTCTACTAGTCTAAATTTCTGGTTGACTATCCAATTTTTTGGCTATTGCTAATTCATTATTGAACTGTCTTACTATTCTACCAACATCTCGAGTTTTTCTTAGTTTATCTCAACAGTTGCATTACACATTACACAATTTTCATGCTTCATTATTTTAATTTCTTATTACTATCAATTTTTTTCTGTTTTCATCATTCCAAATTCCAACTGTTGCATTACAATTTTCTTAAGTATTATCGACACATAAAATTTGTATAAAACAATGTTACAGACATTTCTATATTTTTCTTCTGAATAATTTAGTCAAATTTCATATTTTTTTTATTCACACGTAATTGGAGTTACATGATTAAAGACGGTTAATTTCTTTTATTGTGAATTGGTGGTCCTCGGAGTTGCGAAATTTTAGTATTCTATTTTTCTCAAGATTTGGTGCTTATCGTCTTCTACACAAGCAGTCCCTGTTATCAATAACTCACATAGGTACTTTCAACACAGTAATTATTAATATAATTATTCATGTTAATATGTCATGCACATGTAGCTGAGGTACATGTTAATATCAATAAATGTAATCGCAATATAATTATAAGTGCATAAAATGCCCCTAAAGCTCCATTGAGTAAGTTCATGTGTAATTGGATTTTTGATCGCTTGAAATAATATCCAAGTCAGTGTGAGAGGTTCTTTAGTTCTCTGGTACTAAAAAAATGCATAAATAAAGAGAAACGGCGGAGAACTGTTTTTATTTTCATTTTTTCATTTTCTGGTCCCGTACCGAAGCCGGCCAAATCCCAAAAATCACCGTAGTACGAATTAACTAAAATAAAACTATGTAGGTAGAGAAAAACTAATCAGTCTCATGAAATGTTAATCGGCAGGATTAAACAACCAAATTTATTCTCTCAAATTCCTTGGGAATGTCATCCAACGGACTGTAATCGCGGCTGATATGTCAAAAATAATTCAATAAACACACAATTACACCATCAAATTTAGCGAGAAATCCATTTTGTTGTGCGTCAAGTATACGTACAATATGCACAAACAAATAATTCTTACGTAGTCAAACGACGAGTTAACCCACAAGTAGTTAAATGTACATAACGATCACAGCTTGACAGAAGGCATGTAAAACACATGTTTCATATTTTGTCTCTCGGAAAACCACAAATCTATTCACTTCGAGGCCCCACAAGCGTATGTATATAGATATAAACAAGTTGCATAATTCGGTGCCATCACCAAAAGCGAAAAATGGGATAAATCAGGTAAAACTTACGTCGAAAAATTGGCTTTCTTCGAAGTTGCGGCCGAAATTGTCTTAAGTTCTCTCCGATATTGAGAATTGTTGGCAAAATGGATTGAAATTTCTTCCTTGGCAGCTCGCGGCAGCCATTTTGTCGGTTAATTTTGCACAAAATGACCTCCACCAGCTGTCCAATCGCAAACAATGAAATTTATTTTTCCTGCAATTTCCAGTATGTGAAAAATCCCAAGACGATGTCAAGCTGCAGTCTAAGAGAATAATCAATGCTTTGATGTGACAAGTATGACTGAATTTAACAGAAAAACCTTGCGCTTTCCTCGAGAAATTCTATTAAATTTTTATTGAAACTTTATTATATTTATATTTTATTAGAATTCTATTGCAAAATTATGACATATTTTTTTGTATCAGTTCTATTGAAAATTATACAACTTTACATTAACATTTTTTAAGAGATATTTTATATTGAAAGTTTAATAAATTTCAATTTTTCTACTGAAATTCTTGGGCATAATTTTCTAAGTATTTCCCACTAAATTTTAATTTTGTTCTCATAATAAAATCTAAGAAAAAGGACTTAGAAAATGCCCAATAATTCCGAGAGAAAAAATCTGCTCAGAATGAGTTTTATAGAAACCCCAACATCTATAGGGAAGGGTGGGGTAAAATGGACACTTTAGACTTTTTCAAAATTATTCATAAGTCAGAAAGAAATTTATCAATTGAGCTCAGTTTAGGCTCGTCACAAAGGGAAAGAGTTATTTTTTGTATTGAAAAAAAATTATTAAATTTTATCAACATTTCAACCCCTCATTAACATTTTTAAAAAAGTCAAAAGTGTCCGTTTTACCCCAACCTCCCCTAGACTTTTCTATAAATAAATATCTATTCAAACCGGCACCGGAAAGTTGCACAATTTCTTACGGAATTGATGCAAGAAAACGAATCGAATATTACAGAGTTCCAACAAAAATTCAACAGAATTTCCCGAAGAAATCGCCAAGTTTTTCTATCAAATTCTTCCATAAGTGAAATGTTATCTCATTCGCCTAGGTATTCTTGTATACATTATGTATATTATATCCCTATCTAAATACATACACTTGCCAGTATCTACCCCATGAGCGCTTAAGGATGTTCGACACCCTTTTAGCCAAAATTGACGTTGTTTTCATTTTTCTGGCAAATTATCGATGGGAGTGACGTGAAAAAATATAACGATTTTGTGGTTTGTCATTCTTTAATGGCTCACGAAGTTGCGTAGTGGTGCGATAATTTTCATGCGTTTTTTCTACAGTTTTGTGATTCTTTTTAAAAGTTTAGAGAAAACGCAGGAAAATGTTCGCACCACCTTAAAATTTCGTCAGTCATTAAATAATGACAAAACGCAAAAACGTTATATTTTTCACGTCAATTCCATCATAAGTTTGCCAGAAAAATTAAAAAAATGTGAATTTTGGCAGAAAGGGTGTAGAACATCCTTAAATCATTGTACAAACAAAAATAAATCCCCAAAGAAAACCCGAACAGACTATTCTTGAAAATAGGAATGTAAAACCAATGAGTGTGCATATGTACCGATTAAAGATACATGTGCGTATGTACAGAAAGTGGACGGAGCGAGGATATTCGTTGGTCTGCAGTGCATCAAAACCCAATAAAACTCTACATAACTGAATCAGGGAATAAAACAAATAGAGAATTAGAGTTCGTAGACGTCTTTGCCGTAGGGTCTGGCGACATTGGGTCTGCACGAGGCGGGACTTGCGTAGGAATGAATAATATGCACCCTGAGTCTGACATCCCCGGACGACCTGGTGCCATCGCCCCTCTGTCTCCTGGAGAAGCTCACAGTGGTTTTGCAGCAGCAGTAATGAAACAACTTGACATAAGCGTTTCTAAAGTGTCGATCGAGCACGCAATACAGCAGATTATTAACACAAGACTTCGACAATGCAAACCAGGCTAGATTGTAAAATACTCCGGAGTTGACGCGTCTAAAGTTGCTAATGCATGCTGTACTGCCAAATGGTAACCAGAATACAGCGAAGAGGGCAAAACTGCACATGTTTGTTTTGGTGAGGTCGTAGTCCCAGGAGAAGGCGGCTGGGGGCTTGAAGGAGCTCCTTATGGCACGTCGTACACGCAGTATCAATCGCAAGTAAAGAACGATCGTTATTAGGGCTGGTAGCAGCACCAGAAGGCACGCTCCTATTACCTGCTCCATGGCTACTCCGTTGAAACGACGACCGCAGAAGTCCGGACCTAGTTTCAGGGAAGACTGAATGGCCACCGCTACGCCTGCTATTACCCAGACCGAGAACGTTATTCCGGTTATTCTACTTGGTGTGAGGATTGCATACCTTTGGGAGAAGAAGAAAAAGAAAAATGTTAATAAGTTTGCATTCATTGCATGAATTTTAGAGATCATCTACTTGGAAAATTAGATAAGATATCTCAAGGGGGATACGTCGGTGAAATTTAAGTCTTCAGTGGGCCTTGGGAACCATTGAACAGTTTGTGATATGTGACGAAGTTTGGGAATGACTAGGGAAAATCACGGATCCGATTGATTTTCCGCTGTGTAACTACGAAAAACTTAATTTTTTCCTATTTTTAGCTTCAAAATGCTTCTTGCACCGGAGTTTTTATACGATTTTAGCTTTTTTTAAAAAATATCAAAATGTTATTTTAAAAAAAATGTTATTATTATTATTATTATTATTATTATTATTATTATAAAGCATTTATTCATGTCCTGGGGTTAAACACCCCCTAAGGACAACCAAGAAATACATTCCAAGACTTCGTTCAGAATAAAAGCACAGTAGTGCATAGTAAAGTACATTTGACCTTGACAAAGCATATGCATGCATATAATAATTGACATAAATGATGTAAATGTTCGTTACACTTCAAAGAAAAAAGGTAAGCATCCGTTTTACGTTATACGCAATAGATCATGAATGAATCAATTTTTAATTTCGTAAATTTTTCACGTCAAAAGAGTATTGACTATCTACTTGGTGCAATGATTTGACGAATTATGAAAAAAATATAATTATTTGACCCTCATTAAAGACACGGAAAGGTTTTGCTGGAATTAACTGGGACACGGACGGTATAATAACAGAATAAGAAAATGAGAAAAGATTCATCTCACTTTTTTATCTTATATTTTTGTAGTAAAAAAACAATCGAAGAGGTAGAGGATAAATTAACTCATCTCACAGGGTCATGCAACCACACTTTTAAATAAATTTGACTGAATTTTCCGGTAAAAGACTTTGAATTCGATTTAAGGGGAAAAAGTCAACGGAATTTCAAGTAAAGTTCCAATTTTTTAGCGGCAGAAAAACAGAAATTTCACAATTTACGTGAATTTTCAAGTGAAAATGAATATTCACTGCCAAATTCTCTGAGAATTTAGGGAAAACTGGAATTCAAGGAGAGATTTCGCTGAATTTTCTTGATATTTCAATAATTCTCCCGGAATAATTAAACTGAAATTCACAGTTCCCCCGGATTATTCCTTGAAATTATGGATTTCCGAGGACAAAATTCCTTGAAATGAAATGAAATGACGTTTACCGGAAATTTCAGTGGAAAATTTTTAAGGACCGAATTGTATTCCATCATTTTTTTTTATTCATTTGGACATGACCCCTTCAGTCACTATCTAATCAACGCGCAAGGCGCACCCTCTTTTCTCAATGAGGAGGAATATTGCGTCGTGCTGGTTGTGCCCTGATGTGTGCTATCTTTAGAAAGAGCTGGTACCTTTCAGCAGGGAGACAGAGTCTAGCATAATTTTCCGCGGCAATTGTCGCTAGAGTCAATGAAGTCACCAGGAAACACAGTGCCTCCAGCGTCCACTCGAATCGACAGATGCTTATTGATTCCTCGTGGCCTGCTAGAATCACTATTGCCGACGCTGGAATCACTAAACCAGTTATCAGGAGGTCTGCCAGGGCAACGTTAACTAGAAATGCATTTCCTGGAAGAGAGATTCGATGTTTATTATTTACAGAGTGCAATAATTTATGCATCGATTTTTTAAGTGATTCCACAGTGGACTGGGGAACTGGGACAAGGCAATTTCAGTTGACGATGAGTGGAAGTACCGGCATCTGAGAGAAGTAGCGAAATTTTTACGAGGACCTTTTTTATAGAGCAGAGAGAGGTTTACAAAAAGGGCACCATAAAGATGTGACTATCCCTCTCAGAATCCGAGATCTTTGTCGAGAACAGATCCTCATTGAGATGGGAAAAACGTAAATTGAGAATTCTTATCTTAAAATTTGTTGAGGAACTTCTTTTTCTTTTGGAGGAAGTGATGGGATGGAAGATTGTAGGTGGTATCATTCAAAAGACAGGAAAATTGGATCCCTAATTGAACGAGGAAAAGGATTTACGGCTCAGCAATTCTCGGGATACAAACGAAATTGTTTCATTTAAGTCCTATCCTTTTCTCAAAGATGTTCCTTTCTATAATAGCTCTGAAAGCACTGAAGTAAAAAATCTCGTCTTTCTATCAATTGAGGATAAAATTTTCTTGCCTTTGCTATGGCAAAGAAAGAGAAAACAGTCGGAAGGAAATTACCGGACAAGTGAAGTAATCGTGGAGCGAACTCGATTTTCAGTACTTTTTCACCCTACACTGAGAGACAAACGACAGAGTTCTCGAACAAGTCTTACTTGTGCCAAAAAATTTTTTTTTTAATTATCCAAACAGGATTTTTCTATGTCAAACATACAAAGAGTGCGACGCGATGGAAAATTTTTGTCGCAAAAATTGATTTAATAGTTGCAAAAAATTGTATTCTCTGTGCAAAAAAATTTAATTTCTAGAACTACATGTATGAAACAATTCAAAAGAAAACCTAACGAATTCGCTAGAAAATTCTATTTGAATTCTATAGGAATTTTATGGAATTACTATTGAAAAATGCTATTCGTTTTTTGCGCTGATTCTATTGGATATTCGATAAGAAAAAGTTAATAGATTTCGAATTTCTGTTCCTTGTTTAAACTTTCGGAAACATTATGTTTTTAGGCATGAAATCAAAATCTGGCAAAATTGTGAATATGAATTGCTACGATTCCGAACACATGATTTTTATGGTGGAAAATCGATGGTTTATAAATTATCTACGAAAAATGCTCGTAATTTTCAAAAATTACAATTTTTCAATTATTTCATCAATTTTCCCCCAAAAGCGAATTTTCTATTTTTACTCGGATTTTTAAAATGTTTTCTAACGGTTCAATATCGAGATTCAAATTCAGACCCGCAAAGTTTAAATAATAGAATCATTGTAGAATGTCCGGAAACTTCGGGTTGAATGGGGCTCAAATGAAAGCTCTGACGTTCGGCCACAAAAGTGGAAAAACATTTCACTACACTGATAGAACGGTTTAGTTGAACCAAACGAGACTTTTCAACTATTACCACGAATCATTAACTTTTAACGAATCGCGGTAATAGTTAAGAAGCCTCGTTTGGTGCAACTGAATCGTTCCACCTTTTCTATCAGTGTACAAAAAAAAAGCCAAAGTGCGGTACAGACCACACTGTAGATTCAACCATTTTCAATCATGAAATTTCTCAACTAAATTGCAGCAGAAAAATTTGAAAAAAATCATGAATATTTGAAGTTACATTTTGCACAGAATTATTATTTTCTTAACAATCGTTGTTTATAAATTATTTATAGAAAATGCTTGTAATGTTAAAAAATGGAAATTCAAAAATCATTTCATCAATCTTCCTCCAAAAGTAAACTTTCTAATTTTTTTCACATTTTCAAAATGTTTCGTAACGGTTCAATATCGAGATTTAAATTCCGACCCGCAACGTTTAAATAATAGTATTATTGTAAAATGTGTGGAAACTTATTTATAGAAAATGCTGTTAATGCTAAAAAATTGCAATTTTTAAATTATTTCATCAATCTTCCTCCAAAAGTAAACTTTCTAATTTTTTTCACATTTCCAAAATGTTTCGTAACGGTTCAATATCGAGATTGAAATTCCGACCCGCAAAGTTTAAATAACAGAATCATTGCAAAATATCCGGCAACTTCGGGTCAAATGGGTTTCAAATGAAAGCTCTGACGTTCGACTGCAAAAGTAGGAAAGCATTTCACAGGAAAAAAAATAGCCAAAGTACTTAAATATCCTTAATGTAGAGGAGCATGGGGCAAAATGAAACACGGGGCAAAATGAAATAGTGGGAAAATCTCGTCATCTAAAGGAGATAGGACATTTTTGAAGAGGACCTTTTTTGTAGCTTGTAAAATTCTCTACAACAAAGGTTTTCATGAAAATCGTTCTATCTCCCTTAGATCACAAGATTTTCTTGCTGTTTCATTTTGCCCCGTGTTTCATTTTGCCCCACCGTCCCCTATTGTTTCATAAAAATAATTCAATTAAGCACCTCGTTTCTTCAAATGATCCTCCACCATCACAGCCGATATCATGAATACATTGCCGACACTCCCGACGACCGCCAACGAGGCAAGCAACAGCAGCTTAGCAACCCTGGACCAATCGGCGGACAGTGTGACAGGCGAAACGTCGGAATCGTCACTCAATCCGAATGATCCACTTCTGTCCATTGCAATCTCCATCTCCATGCCAATCATACCGGCCAGAGTACTGCTTACACTGAGTCCCTCTCGATCACTGGTGGCGGTCATCGATGCGGCGACCGCCGCAGCCGCCGCTGCATCGCCCAGAGTTGTCGTCGATGGAGTTGATGTTGATGGAAGTGTTGTCGTTAAACTCGTTATATTGATCATCCTGTCCACGGCCGGAAGGGAAAATCGTGAAAAAAAAAATCAGGAAGAAATAGAAAGAAAAATCGCATCAATGCGAGCAATCCGGGAGGAAAGAACGAGTGAAATTGCGGGGAAAATAGATACACCCGATGATAAAACGGGTAGAGTACTTGTTGCATCACCAATACCGCCTATATAACTGCATATAAGTACATGCCTATGTATCGTGTCATTGTACAGACTGTTGGAGCGAGACAACTAGTGTCTGATGTCTATCGACCCGACCCCGTGCAACGAACTCCCAACAGATATACGTAACAATAGGGAACTTGCATGATTTTTTTTCAACTTTCTAATCTCAAGTTTCGGACCTGAATAATTTATTTCTCATTCACAACCGCTTGAAACATTGCTCATTAATTGATAATTAGTTGTTAAAAGTTGAAGATTTCAAACGCTTTGCAACCACTAATGACGTCCACGCTCTCTTCTTTTTTGACCAATGAAGCGTTACCTGACCGTCTTCGTGACGTCATGACCGAAAAATTGGTCTCGAAAACGACTGATTTTCAATTAATTATCATGAGACATCTAGGCAATGTCTCACTATATTATAAAAATCCCAATCGACTTCTGAAATTAAGGGCCACAAGGGTCATGAGGGTCAGAATAAGGGTCACGAGGGTCTAAATAAGGGTCATCAGAATAAGGGTTACAAGGGCTCAAATAATGGTTACGAGGGTTAGATTAAGGGTCACAAGGGTCAGAATAAGGGTCACGAAGGTCTGAATAAGGTTCATGAGAGTCAGAATAAGGGTCATGAAGGTCTGAATAAGCTTCATGAGGGTCAGAATAAGGGTCAAGGGGTTTTGAATAAGGCTCACGAGCGTTAGATTAAGGGTTAGACAGGTCAGATTAAGGGTCGTGAGGGTCAGAAGATGGGGGACGAGGGTCAAAAAAGGGTTACAAGGATCAGATTCAGGGTCACAGTAAGAAACAAGGGTCAAAATAAAACCAAGGAACTGAATAAGGTTCATGAGGGGCAGAATAAGGGTCACGAAGGTCTGAATAAGCTTCATGAGGGTCAGAATAAGGGTCAAGGGGTTTTGAATAAGGGTCACGAGCGTTAGATTAAAGGTTAGACGGGTCAGAAGATGGGCGACGAGGGTCAAAATAAGGGTTACAGGGATCAGATTCAGGATCACAGTAAGGGTCCAGAAAAGGGTTGTGGGGGTCAGAAATAAGGGTCAAAATAAAGATCACTTTTCGCCGTTTAACTATCTATGTCACGAGGAATGGGTGAATAGAGGAGAGAGAATTGAGCTTCATGCAAGTTCCCTATTCCTTCCAAGCCCCCCCAATTTACCTTTCCTTCATTCAATTAATGATTTAATAGTATCATCAATCAACGGGTCAATGGTTCCTCAAACCTCATGCCCTCAATCCCCCTGCCAAATCGACCCACGTAGCACCGTGATATTGACTCATATCAGCCCACTGGAAAAGTTTTTCATCGTAAAAATGTCATTACAAAACGAACGGAAATTCAATTTAATGTTTAATCAATCCAGGACGCGAGTTAATCACATTTATCCCTCGATTTAATGCTGAAGTGAGATGGTTGTCTGGTTGAGATAGGTGAGAATACCACGGCTATGAACTCAGTGGGGAATGTGAAGAGGTGGGATCATGATGCTGGATGGTGTGAGGACACCGGAGAGGGTGTCATTGTGGGATAGGTCACCCGCTGGGGAAAACTCCGGCTCATTATCGTAAGTGCGCTACGCGTTATGCAGGGTATATAGGTACTGGAGTCACGAGTACACCCCATCTATTAACCCAGCCCCTTGATCACTCTGAATAACTCGGGGAAATTCAAATAATTGGATGGCTGAACTCAACCCCATTATTTTCCCATGCATCTCGAATCGTTTTGTGTTCTCAAGTAAATGCGCCTGCGGACGTTGACTTTTCGTCGGGCATCACATTTAAATTATTTTTAGAGTTCTATGAATCTATGGAGAGTGAAATATTAATGTATCGATTATTTTAGTCCGTAAGGAACGCGACCGACGGCAATAAACAGTGATTTATTAGAAAACACGAGGGAAAAATGCCATTTATATCAACTAGTGTTAGGAGAGAGTGAATTCTTAAGCGGAGGGGGAAGTGATTCAATTTTTTCAAATGTTAATGTGACGGGCGGAAGCGGAAATAGGTTCATTAAAAAATCAAAAAGCGGGAGTGACGATTTCTTCATCGATTCCTCCAATTTATTTCGTTTCTTCACGTCATGTTCTCCGAATACAAAGTGAGACACATCGGGGATGTGAGGTAAATTGTCGTTAGCTATTACATTTAAATCACTGTGACAGTTCTATGAAAGTATCAAGAGTGAAATATCATTGTATTGATTATTTTTATTAATAATAAGAAATACGACCGACGGCAATAAATAGTGAATTTACATGAAAAGACAAGAGAATAATGCCATTCATATCAACTGGTGCTGCGAAAGCGGCAAGTGAAATAATTCAATACTTTCGACAATTAATATAACTGATCGAGCATCGAAAGGGAAATTCATTCATTAAAAATCAAACAGCAAAAATAATGATTTCTTTACCGGTTCCCCCAATTTATTTTCATTTCTTCATGTCATGTTCTCCGAATATAGGGTGAGAAACCAGAGATGTCAGCTATCACATTTAAATCATTTTTGACATCTCTATAAACCTATCGAGAGTGAAATATTAATGTGTACATTATATTGGTCCATAAAAATGTGACCGGCGGCAATAAACAGTGATTTACAGAAAAAGAGTATAGAATAATCCCATTCATATCAACTGGTGCTACGACAGAGTAAATTCTGAAGCGGCAAGTGAAATAATTCAATACGTTCATCTCTTAATATAACTGACCGAACGGGAAATTCATTCATAAAAAAATTCAAAAGCGAAAGTGATGATTTCTCCATCGATTCCCCCAATTCCTTTTCATTTCTTCATGTCGTCTTTCCCGAATATTTAGTGAGACACATCAGGGATGTTAGGTAAATCCGACTATGGCCGTTCACTTGTTGTCAGCTATCACATTTGAATCATTTTGAAATTTCTATAAATCTATCAAGAGTAAAATATCTGTCTACGTTATAAAAATCCAAATCGACTATTGGTGATAAAAATTTGGTACTCGAAATTAAGGGCCACAAGGGTCATGAGGGTCAGTATAAGGATCATGAGGCTGAAAACAAGGGTCTGAATAAGGTTCACGAGGGTTAATTTAAGGGTTACAAGAGTCAAATTAAGGGTCATATGGGTCAGACTAAGGGTCACAAGGGTCACTGTAAGGGTCGAGATAAGGGTTATGGGGGTAAAAAATCCCGAGGGTTAGTTTAAGGATCATAAGAGTCAAATTAAGGGTCACATGGGTCAGATTAAGGGTCACTGTAAGGGTTCAGAAAAGGGTTGTGGGGGTAAAAAATTAAGGGTCACAAGGGTCAGAATAAGGATCATGGCGGTCATATGGGGGTCATACGGGGGTTGGCGAGCGGAGCGAGCGGGGGCGTAGCCCCCTGTTAATATATCGATTATTTTATTCCATAAAAAATTCAACCGACAGCCACAAACAATCATTTACACAAAAAGACAAAAGAATATTGCCATTCATGTCAACTGGTGCTACGAACGAATGAATTCTTAAACGTCGAGTCAAGTAATTCAATTCTGTCAACTGTTGACATGACCGACAGAGAGGCAAATTCATTCACAAAAAAATCAAAAAGCGAAATTAATGATTTCTTCATCGGTTCCCAATTCATTTTCATTTCTTCATGTCATGTTCGCCGAATATAGGGTGAGACACACTGGGGACTTAAGGTAGAGCGGTGTCGACCGGCCAGGGTGGTATGGCGGTATAAACGCGGGTGGCGGGCACTGGAACGAGAAGCTGTATCGATTGAAAGCTTTGCCGGGACCACCGCCTTCTGCCAATCCACAACTCCCTTCAGCCCAACCCCTCGGGTACTCCACCCCCTCCACCCTCTCTGTATTTACATTCGCTTTGATATGCCCTTTAACAGGCGAGATGTGCATACTGTATTTATGCTCAATCCTCTCTGTCAACAGTATCAACACCTTGCAATTCCTCCCGTCGCGGTTAATTTCTTTTTGAGAAATTATCGAGCGTTAACTGCACCGGGGGAAACTTGAGATTCTATTAATACGAGTTTTCGATTTCGACGTAGACTCAGGAGGTTGCCAGTGTTTATCATGTACACAGAAATTTGATATACGTATAGTGAATTACTGAACCACAACCGCGTGCCTAGTACTACGACGTGCGCGTGTTTGGCCTTTTATGCTGGAAACATTATCGACCGATTAATTGGGGAAATTAGGAGGAAATAAGAAACACGTTTTCGCATGTTTCTCGGCATTTTTTTTATCGCTGAGGTCGACTCGCATTTTATCATCATGATTTTGCGCATTTGAGGGGGCGACATGGGGCTGCGGGGGGACGAGGGATTTAATGCCTTACCTGACTCTTTATTACAGCAGTGAAACGCTTAATGCCAAGTTTATTGTTTATTTATTCAGGTTTTCCACGCACCAATATCTATGTCACGGACTGTCAAACTGTCAATGCGCTGGTGGAATTGCATCTTCTCATTGGAAATTTTCTTCTTTTTCTCGCGGTGTCACTCACTCGGTTGTAGAATTAATGGACTTTTTAACGATTTTTTTTTTGCTCGATGGAAACGTCGGACTATTAGTATCGCGCTGTGGAATTTCGATGAGATTTTTATTTTTCAGGTGAGCTTTTGAGATAATGGGTTTAGATTTTCAACAGACATTTCTGAAATTATTGGTTTAGTGATGGATCAATGTATTTATGTTTATATTAGTTTTAGTTTCATTTGAAAAATAATAATATAGAATTTGAGTGAATTAACGTTAATTTACAGTTTCTGGAATTTAATCGGTAACTTTTTGATTTATTACTTGCTTCAATCGAGATTCCTAAGCCTCATGATAATTTTTTTCTCGATAAATAAGCGACATTCTGGGACGGCACGCACCGGTGTACTGAAAGGATGGTGGGCTTTCGTAATCTAACATCTCTGTGTTGGTTGTACGAGGTTTAATACCCACCAATACGGAAATTCATCGAGCGCACGCGCACAATTTTCCCCGTGAATTTTCCCACCCCATGATACTCTCCATTAACATTATTCACATTATTCCAGTATACAATATTTAATGTATTTATTCTTACGTACGTATACACGTGGAATTGTATTGCTTACAATTAAGTGAGGATTACAGAGGCTGACTACATAGTATTTTCAACCATTTGGCAACTTGAATAAGCCATTTTATCATCATAAGTTTTTCCTTGAGATTCGCTTTAGTTTGTTTTTTGCTTCTCTTGTTGCACGAAACTGAACGCGATGGTTTGATGAAACTTTTCTGGCCACCCTCCAATTGATTTCACGTTATGCTGCACGTTGGATGAGACTGAAAGTATAATTTCTCGATTTATCAAATGTTTCGATTCATGAGGAGGGGAAGTAGGGTGGAAAAATAAAAATAACATTTGACTTTTTTTTAATATTCATGTGGGTCGGAAAAAAATTATCGATTCAGCTTTGTCTAGACGCTTTGGGAACCGGAAAAGGTACCTCTTTATCAAGTAGAAGAAGAAATTATTATTACTTTCGTCAACAACTCAGTGCGGTGTGAAGACTATCCAAGTGGTGAACCGCGTGGAAAAAATATATCCCCGGTGATTATATCTAAATTATATGTAGCATTATATGAGATTTATCGCCAATGCTAAGATATATTTTTGGAAAAGGCAATATTCAAGATATATGCGGGATTTAAGGTTCACACTTCTGTTCAGCATATATCTCAGGTATTATATATTTTGCTGCAGATACAAGTAGAGATGCAAAATGACCATGACTTTCAGTTAAAAAGTCGGTGCGTCATATGACCGTCATTTTTTAGATCGCGTTATATGACCAAATCTACACATCATATATCTTGGATATTGCTCATTAATTATTATTTTAAAATTGGAATTATTTTATTTTTATTTGCCGTTGTTGGCCACAATTTGCTTCCAAATTATTTATGACCATCATTTTTAGTTAAGGATGTTCGACACCCTTTTAGCCAAAATTGACGTTGTTTTCATTTTTCTGGCAAATTATCGATGGAAGTGATGTGAAAAAATATAACGATTTTGTGGTTTGTCATTCTTTTTAAAAGTTTAGAGAAAACGCAGGAAAATGTTCGCACCACCTTAAAATTTCGTCAGTCATTAAATAATGACAAAACGCAAAAACGTTATATTTTTTCACGTCAATTCCATCGTAAGTTTGCCAGAAAAATTAAAAAAACGTGAATTTTAGCAGAAAGGGTGTAGAACATCCTTAAAAAGTCTGTGCGTCATATGACCGTCATTTTTTAGATCGCGTTATGTGACCACAAATAATTTGGAAGCAAATCGTGGTCAACAACAGCAAATAAAAATACAATAATTCCAATTTAAAAATAATAATTAATATAATTGTATATTTTGCCGCAGATATAACTAGAGATGCAAAATGCCTGTTATTTTTCAGAACGCGTTATATGACCAAAAATGACGGTCATATGACGCACAGATTTTTTAACTAAAAATGATGGTCACGAATAATTTGGATGCAAATTGTGGTCAACAACGGCAAATAAAAATGAAATAATTCCGATTTTTTAGGATTTCAACAGAAAAAAAATTGTCGAAATAGTTGCGTATCCTCATTAAGACGAGTGTAGAATTCTACTTGAATGAGATTAATAGAGTTCTGCCAAGTGAAGCACATTTTGAAAGACTCAATTGAAATAAAAAATCATTTAATGATAGCCATGGTTAAATACTTCTAATAGCTTAGTTCATAAACATTTCCTAAATCAAACTTTCCGTGTAATCTCAACATCTAGTCATTGTGGATCCATTCTGGGAATAGATCCACTAATGAAACTTTATGACTATTTAAATCACTGATTTAGTGATGTGAAAATTCTGCTACAGAAGTGACATTCCATTCAGAATGTGTCAATGAACATAATGAGCCCAACTACTTGGATTTCCTTGACATTAAAATAAAATTCAAATGTACATATTTCACCCCACTTGTCTCAAAGTAATTTATTTCAATTATTGATTATCTTACCGAGGCGTTCTTAGCCTTTTCTAGAGAATCCCTTATTGCATCTGTAATTATTCAGAGACAATTAAACTCCATGTTTAGATTTTCCGTACACTTTTTAGCTCTTATCTTCATTGATGAGTCTATCTTCATGGCCGCCCCCAATTCAAGAATCAATAACTCAAAATAATTGGCCTTGATGAATTCTCATTATAAAGAAAACTTGAAATAATCAAAAAGCACACCAATCGAGTTTATTTAATGCAAATAAATAAATATCGCTCTGTGTGCATTAGAGTTGGAGGCATTTTTTCGTGACCACAAAAAAAAAATTTTTTTCCAAGAATCTTCTTTTTTCCGGAGAAACAAGATGTGATAAGATTCATAGATGATATGAGCAACAGAGGTTTTTCTTGCAATTGTGATCCTATTGCTTTTCTCCCCCTAACATATCTCTGAAAACTCTGTAAAAATGAAGAAAATCCTAAGGAAATGTGATATTTTCTTATTGCAGCCTTTTTCATTTTTTTTCTTTTAGTTTGCTCCGTATATTAGTGTAGTGAATAATAAAAACATAAATTTTCATAGAACAATTACTACACTGATAAAAGTCGTATCTCTCGATATTATAAAAATTCGAATTGACCTCTGGTAATAAAAATTTGGTACTCGAAATTAATACTCTACAATGAAGGGTCACAAGGGTCAGAATAAGGATCATAGGGGTCATATGGAGGTGGGCGAGTATGAAAAAAAAATCTCTAAAAAGTACAATGTTTCACAAAACTTTTGCATTTGCACAGAATTTTCAAGGATATATTAGTAGAAGAAAAAAATGCTTAATCAGTTCAATTTCGTATATGAAAATATATTTTTTCAATCGGCTTAGGGCCGGTGGCACCAAGCCCTGTTGGCTAAATCAATCGTCGGAATAAATTTAGATCTGCAGTAAATTTATTGCAGTTGGAGAATTTCAGGAATTCGTCGCAGAGTAAACTAAATACTTCATAATCAGTGGTATTATTGGCAAATAGTGATGATACATCGATACACCACGTTTTTTAGTAAAATACCTTCGATGAACTTTCGATCGAAATTGATCTGCAGATTATTTTTATTTATTCCGAACCTTAACTGGTGCAACTTGGTGCAAACGAGCCTAAGAAGAATAAAGAAATCTCCTGATAAGGCCTTCCTAGGAGTCGAAACGTTGGGATAATTTATACTTTGATAAATTCTTTATTAATTCCAACTCCTGGAAAATAACTGGATTATCGTCAGAATTTTTATTTATTTACTTCAAACATAGCCAAGGGACGGCAACGAAAAAATGCCTGTAATCGGCACCCCAGTGTGCAAATTCACTCATTGTTCCCTCCAATTCATGAATTAACTCAAGAGAAATTTTCCAAATAAATTATTAACTACAAATAGTCGTGTTAATAATGATCCTGAATAACTTCTCAATTCAAAATAGTCTTCAAATAATCAAAAATATATCCATCCCCGGTGTCTCCCACATCTTTGAGCTTTCATCTTCACTGACGATTATATTTTATTATTATCTTCATTGTTGCCCTCAATTCACGAATTAATAACTCAAAAGAATTTTCCTAAATGAATTATTAACCCAAAATGGTTCCTAAATAATCAACAAGAGCACACGAATGCCTCGTGTACAGTGCTCCCCCGTGGACATCAATCATCGGTCCGAAATAATTAACGAGTGTCTATCGATTGACCCCCACCGAACCCGACCACAAACAACTGAGCCAAAAAACACTCTACTCCCCTTAAAAAAATCCCCATACCTTCAAACAACATCTTCCTGCTGTCCCCAATCTTCGGTGGTGAGACCCTTATCCTCTTGACCCCAGGTTCCTCAAAACCATTGCTAAAGGAAGATCTCGGTTTATCAAATCGTTCCGAAGTAACATGTGTAATCTGTCTCGAAACAGAAGGAAGACAGGACTGGCTGTGACTGGCACAGCTCGACGTTGTGGAAGATACACTGGACAAGGCAGAATCACTAACATCAGGAATGATCCCTTGGCAAACGAGTATATCCCTCACATCCTGGCGACTCTCAGGCCGTCCTAAACTGTACTCTTCACCTTTGGCACCATCAAAAGGCTTCTCCATCGCACCCAACACGTCCTCAGGGCTCATCTTCCCCGCCTCAACCCCAGGGCCACTCTTCAACGAAGACGTCCACTCCCTCCCATAATTCCCACCACGAGGACCAACGAGTTTAATAGTCTTCCCCAGTAGCACAGCATCCCCAGGATCATCGATATTAGCAAGATGATAATCAAACAAATAACTCCAATTCGTCGTATTCCTCTTGATCGTGGACGGCGGCGCCCTATCCAATGCTCTCTGATCATCAATATCATCATTAAAAATACTCTCCATCATCGAAATACTCTCGTACCCATCGACACAGTAATTACTCGTTATCGAGTACTCCCTCTCGTCAATCCTCTCACTATTACCCTCCATCGATCCCCCAGGCTCTGCCATATCCTCGAAGTTCCTCTTCTTCACAGACTCTCTGAAATCGTCAAAATCCAGCTCGTAATGGGCCTCGTCCTTGGACAAATTAGCGTCATCCCAGAATATCCCTCCCCCAGGGCTCATGTCCTCGGTTACTGACACAGTAGTTGACACAGAACACATGTCGACTGAATAGTTCAGACATTTTTCTGTCTTCTCCTCACTCCCTCCAGGAGCTTCTAGGGCTCTCTCTTCGTCCCCACAGATATTCATCAGCTTCTCGACTCGACTCTCGCAGCTCCCTGTGCTGTGGGCATCGACAATCTCCACTTTATTCGACTGCTTTCTACTCCTCTCACGATCCAAAAGGTTCTTCAACCACGTGAGACCCTTCCTCTCCTTCACTCCCTTCTTTCTCTTGTCGTTTTGGGAGGCGTCTTTGCATCTGTGTGTGTTTTTGTTGAGTCTTCGTGGACGTCTGGTGACGATGGATCTGCGAGACAGAGTCTTCAGTACTCCTGCCTTGAAGCAGGAGACCTCGTGCTAGGGAACCTCGTAAACGTCGTTATCACAGGTTTCCTCGATTTTTTTGTTACTGAGATCGTCTTCGTAGGTGAGCAAGTCTGCACAGGCTTTATTCACGTCAAACGAGTTCTGCTGGAGGTACCAGAGGGTCGAGTTGGTGGATGGAGGAGCTGAGGGTAGGAATTTAAGGTATTCACAGTAGAATGTCGTCTTCGGGGGCTGGGGACCCAGCAGAGTCACCCCAAGTTCATTTATCCTAGTTTCTTCCTCGACTTTTCCCTTTATGAGCCCCTTCCAGAGCATCAGGGTGAGTAATTGTTATGCGTAGGACCTCTCCGTTGTCGGTGAATCAATCTCCCACTTGGTGGAGATGAATCTATTGAAAATTGGCTCGCAAATGCTCGAATACTCGTTCTTCATTAGTTTGGAGCGCATGAGGACTCTGGTTATGTGCTCTGGGGAGTGACTCAGGCATACGTGGAGGACATTGACGAGTCTTGCACAGGTGTTCCCGGGGTTCGAGGTCAACTCCATGTCCAGGTAGAGGGAGAGCAGGTCGGAGAGTTTGTCGAAGTAGGGACGATAGTCGTGCATGTCGTCTTTTATGTCTAGCCAGTAGAAGTAGAAGAATGTCAGCATTCGACTCATCTGGGAGCTGAGGGCCGACGCTCGTTGGGGGAAGGTGTAGCAGAGGTTCGTCTCTTTTGAGATGTTGTTTACGTAGAGGGATAGCATGTCCTCGAGGACCTGGTGACTCCTGCTGCCCACCGACGAGCAGAGGGTCGCCTCGAAGCTCGGGTACCAGGCAGATGTCTCTTCCATGTCGAGGGAGACTGGTGATGAGTGGAGGATTAGAGCTGCAAACAGCCCTGATTTGCGTTTGGTAGTGATCGTTGGCGTACAAGTGGCTAATTTTTTTTTAATCGATAGATATTGACACGTAGGTCAAACTGTCTTAATGGTTTTTGCATTTCGAGTGGGGCGCAGTTAGGAAAAACAATAAAAAGGCCTTGAAAAGGCCGTTTTCGCAAATTGTGAGGAAATGGTCAACTTTTTATAATTTTTGACTGAATGCCTTTTTGAAGATCTCAATTAGTTCTACATTTTTTGTTTTTTGGGTTTTTTGTATTAGAGACGTCCTGAGCTATTAATTTCGATTAGGTTATAAATATTAAAAAGTAAAAGTACTATTGGCTGTTTCTCTTGATGATCGATAGCTTTCAACATTTAGATGGAATTTTATATGTAGTTTTCATGTTTTTGGATTTTGTCCGTGGGGAATATCAAATTCTCAATATATCGAGAATAATCAAAGAGTAAAAAATACAAAAAAACCAAAGAAGACGAAGTTTTTAAAATATTGATACATGAAAGGTTGAAGAATAATTTCTGTTCTGATGAATGGAATCGTCTTTTCCACCACTCCTTGACGTTAACGTGGGTTTGCCTTACCCCCACTCTGCCAACTGAAGAACTGCTGACGAACCACAGTTGTCATAGGTTTCCGTCTTTTACTATCATTCTTTTATAAATGCATCGTCCAAAAACATGAAAACTATTCAGAAAATTTCATCTAAATGTTAAAAACTATCGATCGGTGAGAAAAAACTACTACTACTTCCATTTTTTAATAGCATTTATAAACTAATTGAAATTACTAGCTTAGGACATGAATAATCGAGAAAACATAAGACTTTTGTCAAGTATAGAAGTCATTGAGACCTTAAAGAAAACATTTCAAATTTACTATTTTCTCATCATTTGCGAAAAAGAGCTTTTCAGAATCTTTTTTAGTGTTTTTCATATATCCGCCCCACTCAAAATGCGAAAAGCAATCAGGAAAATTTGATCTACAAGTTAATATCTATCGATTAAAAAAACAATTAGCCACTAGTACGTTAACGATGGGTTTCTCATTTTCTAAAGCCTTTTTCGGGGGCTGTTTGCAGCTCTAGATTGTTAGGGCCTCTGGAGGTTTGTTTGGGGTTTCGTTGCTCCGAAATTGATGTACTCACCGATTATGTCTGGAGGTGAAGGGTAATACCGATCTTGAGACGAATTATTTACGAGTAATTTGGGAATAAATGCGCAATTTTTCGACTTGTTTTGGTTTGAAAAAGAATCAATGGAATTAAAAAATAGACGTACACTGCACACGTGCAGACGACACATACACAACGATTAATGAGGGCGCAGCACCCTTCGATTTTAGAGTTCCCAGAAAGCCCAGCAGATGTCCCAACAAATGGTCGTCAAAGTCCGGGTGATTAGACAATCGTTATAAACTTATATTTTGGGGATATTTTCTTGGAGAAATTGACATAATGAAAGTGGGAAGAATTATTGGGGGATTTTCGGTATTTTTTGGATGATGAGGGGACACTGGGGTGCCCCAGTGACCCCATATCACCTCCGTGTTACCAATAAAATCGCTGCTGTTACGGAGATTTGACTGCGCTGGCTCTGGGATACACTGGTACTGCGGCCCGTTTCACGTATGTGACATGGCGTCCGGGTAGAAAGAAAGTTGACTGTTAAATAAGCGTTAATGTTGTTTTTATGACATTGAATTAGAGTTGAATAATACTAATCTGAGACCGCGAATTTTCCAAAGACACTGGCATTGATGGTAATGCATGCGAGGAAACCACAAAGGATCAGCGATGGGTAGGGCTCCCAACAACTTGAGAGACTTTGACTTCTCTCTATCCACTCAAATTATATTTTTTTCCCCTCCTTGCAAAAAATCCATTCTCTCTTTACCTTACCAAACATCATTGACTTATTATTTTCGTCGTCGAGTCACTTGTGTCCCATCAATTACTCACTTCTATTTATTCCGAACTCTTGATAATGCAAATTTCATTTTTTTCCTGTTTACGGAGGTGCATTTTTTGGCATTAATGGCATTTTCTCTTTATGATTTCTCTTGTCTTACCTTCATTTATTCCTTCCCACTCCTCCAAGTCTGCATTATCCGAGACCAATTATCCCATTCTCCTACGATCGTTTGACTTTTCTTATGTTTAATTAATTCAACAACTCCCCTCCCCTCCTCCCACATTGATTGGTTTTAATTAATGATTTTTTTCCAATGGCAATTATTGTTTAGTAATTTAAAAAATTTGTTCTTGTGATTTCAGGTACTTTGAAAAGCACCAGACCCATCCCTATCAGGTAAATATCAAGTCAAACGTCGGATCTCGGGATGTTTCATGATGATTTCATATACAAGTTATTCTAGTCCATGGATTGTTCATTAGGGGATGTAGAATCGTCTCGATAATGATTTAGCAATATTGTGGGGGGATTATATCGTGGATTTTGGGGTTTACGTGAGAGCCATTTATCGCAACAGAATTGATTTTTTTCGCAACTCCCTTTGTATCTTTCTACATTGAATCCTCGTTTCGTCTTTAAACTCATTACAATTAGTAATTATTCACTCGATTGTTCGAGACGTTGGGATTAATAAGCACTAGTAGAGGCTGGATACAGTTCAATTGGATTGGAGTAAATAAAAAGCATAATGGGAATATGTAGTTTCGTCGAACATAACCTCAATCTACGAAAAATCAATAGTAGTTTGACTGAGTATTTGGATGCTGATAATATTCCATAGATCATGAGATTCGCCCGGAAAAAAGTAATTGAATGCTGTTGTTATCTGTTGATTGTCATCGGGGCTGAATTTAAAAATGTTATTGAGGGTTTCTCGTTTTTGGATTTTTTGCAGAACGCCAAATACGGCAGTTCTAAGGGTGGCTACTCCTCGTCGGCAGTGTCATCAGATGGACGTTACGAGGGACGTATGCGAGACTCACCAAATGGCAATTCTTACAGCCCAGCTGGTGGATTGGGTATGGGCATGGCTGTTGATCGTGACAGTCCACGTAGCTACACATCCAAACCTCTATACAAGAAGGAGAGAGAAAATAGAGACTACAAGTTATCCTCCTCTAGGGACAAGTATTCCGGTGAGTATTTTTTTTTACCCAAAATTATGGGAATGATGAGTGTGGAGAATGAACAGGCCAGTTGCTGGACGGTTAAGGGACATTCAAGTTTCGTGCCAGGATCTGAAATAAAAAAATCACCTGAATGGGGATATGATGGTTTCCATACCTTCAAGAATGCTTTAATTAGCAGAAAAAAATTATTTGAAATGAAAATAACAAAATATAGAATAATTATTGTAAGAAATAGTTTAATGCAGCCGAAACCCCTAATTTCTGGACGACTGGGCGATTTTTTTTATTTATTAAATGGTGATCAATGGAAAAAATAATTGATCACATGATTATACAGGAGTAATATTATTGAAAGGTGAAATAATCAGTACAATTTTCATTTTATTTATGGAATATTCAATGCAAGTTGAAATTGTTCAGAAATTGACCTATTTACCCTAGTCTTCGAGGGTTTCTGAGCTTTTGAAGCTCTTTCTTTTGGTAATTTATTGTTTAATGAGGGCTAAATAACGAATTTTGTATTCAAGTTGACAACTGAAATGAAGTAATCGATCTTGGAGATTTAATTCAGCTTGTGGAGGAGTCTTAGATTTTTTTCATATTCACAATTGTGGAAATTTTTATTGTTTTTAAAGTTAATTCACTCGTTCGTTGAATGAAATAGATTGATTTTAAATATGCTTATTAATGTTTAATTTAAGTTGAATATTAAATTCAATTAATTGATCTTGAAGATTTAATTGAGTTCGTAAAGGAACTTTAGACTTGGCTAATATTCTGAGTGATCCTGAAGTATAGAAATTCTTATTGTAATGGCAACTTTCAAAGTCTCTCGTTTTATTAATTTTTTATATATTGCTGACGAATGGTTAACTCGAGTTGAATGTTTAATTCAACTAATTGACTTTGAAGATTAAATTTAGGCTGAAATGAACTATTGACTTCCTTCAATATTCTGGATGATCTTGAATCCTGGAAATTGTTATTGTTATGTCGGCCTTCTAAGCCTCTCGTCTCTATTTACTTATGATTAAAAACAGTAAAAAAGGAATTCGTTGAGTTCAAAATCATGTACTTGGAACTCTTCCCTTTGTTCATTCATTGTTTATCGAGGACTGAATAACGAATGTTTAATTCAATTCAATACTCGAATTGAATTAATTGCTCTCGAAGATTTAATTGAGTACACATTGAATATATACCGAGTGATCCTGAATCATCGAAATTGTTATTATTGAAAATATTTGAAGCCCTTTCATTTTATTTACCCTTTGTTTGTTGATAATTTAAAACATTTGAATCGAATTAGTTGACCTCAAAATCATGCGATTGGAGATGTACTTGCGCTTCGAGCACCTCATCTCATCAGTTATTATTTATTGAGGACTCGATAACGAATGTTGAATTCAAGTTGAATATTGAATTGAATTAATTGGAGTGAAATTGAGCATGTGATGGAGCTTGGAGTTCTCTTTAACGTCTTGAATGATTTACAATTGAAGAGATAGTGTAATTGCATCTTCTAAGGCTTCATCTTTCTGTTTGTTAATTGCTTTTATTTGTTGGTTGTTCATTGATGATTCTAGAAGGCAAATATTGAATCGGTTCATCCGAAAATTTTGTACTTGAAAGCGAAAAACAGCTCTTCAATGTTTTAAATGATTGAAACTTCTATAAATCATGCAATTGCAGACTTTCTATTTTCGTCAATTATCGGTGCTTGATGATTTTAAATAATTATTGACTGATTTAATCTGGAAATTATGTCATTCTAGGTGTTGAGAAGCTTGAGATTTCCTCTAATTTATGATATCCATCCCCATGTTCATAATAAAGTTGACGTGGATATTCGGATATAGGATAAAATAGTATTGTATTTCCTTTCTATTGACACCTCATGATCTCTCAAATTATTGCTCCAATACTTTCAGTTTTACAAAATTACCCCTTTCAATGCTTTATCATTTTATTCTTTACTGTTCATTGACGATTGCAAGCAGCGAATATTGACTCAGTTGATCACAAGATTTTGTAATTGAAATATAAATGAGCTTCAACTTATCTACAATGTTTTAAAATTACAAATTGCATAATTTTTTCCATTAAAATCTCATGATCTCTCAAATTGTAATTTTTAAAATTTTCTTTTTTACTGTTCATTGATGATTGCAAGCAGTGAATATTGACTCAGTTGATCATAAGATCTTGTAATTGAAGATACAAAGGAGCTTCAACTTATCTACAATGTTTTAAAATTAAGGAGATAGTGTAATTGCGGGTTGCAAGCTCTTCATTCCATCCTCCAGTTGATCATGGATGCTCATAGCCAGTAATCATTCCACCATTTGATCCCAAGACCTTGTAATTGGAGGTGTCTGGAGCTTGAAGTTCCTTTCAACTAATGATTGTTCTCTTGTCCCTGATATTAATCCCCTGGCCTTTCTTACATTGCTCCTTTCAAGGTTCTCAATATCCCAAAATTAAAGAGATCGTACAGTCGAAAATGTTGAGGCATTACATTTTCTTCATTGACAGTTTATGTAGACCATAAATATTGAATTCAAATGGAATATCGAATGAACACTCTCGAGATCTTTCGAGGGTTTGAAGAAGCTTGAAGCTCTCCTAGATATTTAAAACGAATGAAAACTCATGGAATCGTGTAATTGCAGCTTTAAAACCATTAATTATATATGTGTAGATTGTGCAAGATCTCCGAAGGACAAAAGGAGTCGAGACAGTCGGGATTCAGAGCACAGGACCAACCATGATAGGAGTGGAGGCGAGGTAAGAATTCTATTGATTACAATTGGGTTGCGAGCTGGTGAAGTGACTTTTCATTAGCCCCAGCTCGTCATCTCTCGCTTCTGTCCTTGAATAACATGTTCAATGATCGTTTCCTCCAACCACAGATTTTACATCCCATAAAATTGTCATCGAACTCATCTCGAGAGTCGTCGCTGCGCAAACCTGTAGCCCACAATTCCTGTCAGGTAATTATGCCAATACTCTAACCCCAATAATTCTCTAATCCCATCTCTTCGTGGATTCATTAATCATCACAATTTGGAATAGGATAAACGGGGTGATGAGCGAGGCGCCGGTGGTGGCAGTGGTGCTGGTGGTGCGATGGAGAGGACCGCAAGATTTGGTGACTGGTCTGAGCACATGAGTTCGTCTGGTAAAAAGTATTA